AGGCTCAGCCTGACCTGCCTCTTTTCTCTGCAGCTTTGATGACATTGACCTGCCCTCGGCAGTCAAGTACCTCATGGCATCAGATCCCAACCTGCAGGTGCTGGGAGCAGCCTACATTCAGCACAAGTGCTACAGTGACACAGCAGCCAAGAACCAGGTGACCACCCCTGCTTACCACCCTCACGGGCCCCCCTTCACTCACTGTCCTCTGTCTGGTCCCTGACCACCCCTCACTGATCCCCAAGCTGCCTGGGCAGACCCCATCTGCCCAGGGCCTCCTCAGCAGAGGAGGGGCAGGAGGGACTGACTTGCACAAATCTGAATACACCTGCATGCTTCTGCTCACATCTGCACACACCTGCATACATCTCCATACACCTGTGTGTGTATGCACACGTCTCCATATACCTGCACATACCTGCACACACTTGCACACATCTGCATGTTTCTGCACACCTCTGCACACATCTCCATACACCTGCATGAGCATGCACACATCTCTATACACCTGCACGCTTCTGCACACCTCTGCACACACCTGCATACATCTCCATACACCTGTATGTGTATGCACACGTCTCCATATACCTGCACACACTTGCACACATCTGCAAGTTTCTGCACACCTCTGCACACATCTCCATACACCTGCATGAGCATGCACACATCTCTATACACCTGCACGCTTCTGCACACCTCTGCACACACCTGCATACACCTGCATATGTACTCACACATCCATATACACCTGCATACGTTTGCACATACCTATGCAGTGTGTGCACAAGCGCTAACACCCGTGTGGCTATGCCCACAGGCCCGCAGCCTGCAGGCTGTGGCTAGGCTGGTGAAGCTCTTCAACCACGCCAACCAGGAGGTGCAGCGCCACGCCACGGGCGCCATGCGCAACCTTGTCTACGACAACGCGGACAACAAGCTGGCCCTGGTGGAGGAGAACGGCATATTCGAGCTGCTGCGTTCGCTGCGTGAGCAGGACGACGAGCTGCGCAAGAATGTCACAGGTGGCCCTGCTCCCCGCCCGCCGCTCTGCCACCCTTCCCTCGGTCCCCACGGCCATCCCTGTGGCATGTCTCTTTGGAGTTGGACTCCAGCCCCAGGCCCCGTGTCCCCAAGCGTCCTCCTCTCTGCGCTGTTGCGGCCCCGTGACCCTACACGTCATACTCAGGCTCTCCCCAGCGAGGCTCTTGGGTGAGGCTCGAAGTGCCAGGCGAGGCCCTGGGCACCATCCCCGGAAGAGGCAGAGGGGCTGGAGGGCCCTCCCTGACCACGGCCTCGCCCCACCTGCCACAGGGATCCTGTGGAACTTGTCCTCCAGTGACCACCTGAAGGACCGCCTGGCCCGAGACACACTGGAGCAGCTCACAGACCTGGTGCTGAGCCCCTTCTCAGGGGCCAGGGGACCGCTCCTCACCCAGCAGAACGCCTCGGAAGCGGAGATCTTCTACAATGCCACGGGCTTCCTCAGGTGCGACGGGCAGCAGGCAGGGGAGGCCCAGAGAAGGGGCATTAGGATCTGAGATCTGAATGACAAGGCGGGGCCACCGGGGGTGGGGGTCTGGGAGAAGTGGACAGAGAGGCAGAGGCGCTGACGCAGGAGTGGAACGGGCCGCCAGGTGTGGCCCCCGGCCAGACGTCAACAGACTGGGGGCTGCAGGCTCAAATTTCTTTAAATCAGGGATTTGATCTGATATTTATAACCTCCCCGGAGCCCCGGACACTTTGAGAAGTGGATGGGGGATGGGCATGCGGAGGTGCCGAGGGGCAGAGCCCAGCTCGGGGGAGGAGGGGATTGGTGCTCAGGATCTCAGCATTGGGTGGGTCCCTGAGGGGTGGGCTCTGCCTGTGGTCCCAGTGGGGGTCTCTGATCTGCCTCCATCCAAAGGAACCTCAGCTCGGCCTCCCAGGCCACTCGCCAGAAGATGCGTGAGTGCCACGGGCTGGTGGACTCCCTGGTCACCTATATCAACCACGCCCTGGACGTGGGCAAGTGCGAGGATAAGGTGAGGCTCAGCCAGTGCCCCGGGGCCCGAGGGGCTCCAGCCGGCTCTGACCGAGGTCCGCCCTCTGTCCACAGAGCGTGGAGAATGCCGTGTGCGTGCTCAGGAACCTGTCCTACCGCCTGTACGACGAGATGCCACCGTCGGCCCTGCAGCGGCTGGAGGGCCGAGGCCGCCGGGATGCGGCAGGGGCGCTGCCAGGCGAGGCAGTGGGCTGCTTTACGCCACAGAGCCGGCGGCTCCGAGAGGTGGGTGCGGGCCTGGGCAGGGGGGCAGGCGGAAGCAGGGATCCCGGGTGACCTCAGCTGACCCTCCACGCCCTCCTGCCCAGTTGTCCCTCACGGCCGACGCGCTCACCTTCGCCGAGGTGTCTAAGGACCCCAAGGGCCTGGAGTGGCTGTGGAGCCCCCAGGTCGTGGCGCTGTACAACCGGCTGCTGCAGCGCTGTGAGCTCAACCGGCACACAACGGAAGCGGCTGCCGGCGCACTGCAGAACATCACCGCAGGCGACCGCAGGGTGAGGTGGCCTGGGACCACACCTGGCCACGCGCGGGGGCGCGAGGCACTGGGGACGCAAGGGGTGAACGGCGGACAGGAGCCCGCTCTCCCGGACTTTACGGTGCATCGGGGGGCCAGAACTTCAGAGCGAGAGAGGAAGGCAGGCAGGATGCGGCTGGAGGATGCCACCTCGGCCCCCGGGGTCTGCACTGAGTTTAAGGAAGGTGCCGGGAGGGTTGGGCCAGGAGGGAGCAGACCCGGGGCCTCCACGGGGCACCAGCACCCATTCTCACCAGCCCCTCTCCCGCCGGCAGTGGGCGGGCGTGCTGAGCCGGCTGGCTCTGGAGCAGGAACGCATCCTGAACCCGCTGCTGGACCGAGTTCGGACGGCTGACCACCACCAGCTGCGCTCACTGACCGGCCTCATCCGAAACCTGTCTCGGAATGCCAGGAACAAGGATGAGCTGTGTGAGTCCAGCCGTCCCGAGGCCTGGGTTCTGCCTCCCCTGGGGGCCGGGCGCGTGCCGGGACTCTGTCTGTACTGCTGCTTCTCCGGCCGGCTTCTGGGAAGCCAGCGCTGGTGGACAGACAGGCGCCGAGGGGGAGCAGGGAATGCCAGGCGCCGAGGGGGCGGGGCAGGGGGCGGGCAATGGAGACTGACCACCCCGACCTGCTGGCAGCCACCAAGGTGGTGAGCCACCTGATTGAGAAGCTGCCCGGCAGCCCGGCTGAGAGCTCTCCCCCGACCGACGTGCTGGTGAACATCATAGCCGTCCTCAACAACCTGCTGGTGGTCAGTCCCGTGGCCGCCCGAGACCTGCTCTACTTCGACGGGCTCCACAAACTGTTCTTCATCAAGAAGACGCGGGACAGGTGAGGGCCCGAGCCCCGTGCCCCCCCCACGCCCCCCCAGCTCGCCCTGCCTCCTGGCCAAGCCTGTCACCCCACTGACCCCTGCCCCCTATCCCCCAGCCCTGACAGTGAGAAGTCCTCCCGGGCAGCCTCCAGCCTCTTGGCCAACCTGTGGCAGTACAACAAGCTCCACCGAGACTTCCGGGCGGTATGTTCCCGCGGTCCAGGGCAGGTGGGGCTGTGAGCGTGGGACGTGGGCACAGGATGGCAGGGAAGGACACGGAAACCCATGTGGCCCAGGGCACCCATAAGACCAGGGGCCTGGGGGGACGGGATGCAGAGCAGCAGCGCCCTGACTCCAGGCCCCTCTCCGCCGCAGAAGGGCTACCGAAAGGAAGACTTCCTGGGCCCGTAGGCGAAGCCTCCCTTGGAGAAGGAGCGTGCGATGTGACCCGCCTCCGAGGAAAGGGCTCAGCTCAGGGCTGCTCACCAGCTGGCCTGGAGGAGAAGGTTGATGACGGCCCAGGGGCTCTCGCTGGAGCCCCATCCACGTGCAACTTGAAGGCCTGGGCCACGGGGAAGGGGACAGGGGCTTGCGGCTGGGGAATTGGCTTCTGCAGGGCAGGGGGTGGGGCAGGGCTTGAGGCTGCTCTGATGCGTGGGGTGGTGGCCAGGTCACACTGGCAGAGGTGGCTCTGGCTGTGGCCCAGCAGTGCCTCGGGACAGCCAGCAATGGGAATAAAGGTGGCCGTGAACACAGCAGCCACAGCCCCTCATGCTTCTTTGGTTGGTCAGACTTGGGGGTCGGACCCAAGGACTCAGCAATGTCCCCAAGAGCAACCATACCTGCAACCATGCCTGCCCCTTAGGACACTCCCCCCTGGGCCCATACACAGGCCTCTCCAGGTCAGGGGACCCAGGACAGGGAGGAGGGCGTGTCCAGCAGCAGGAGAGCTGGCGGAGAGAATGGAGGAGATGGGGCAGACAGCAGAGGCAGCCTCAAGCCAAGTGAGATACAGAAGCAGCAGAGCTGGGGACGTGGTGTGCAGAGGAACGAGCACTTCTGGGGCAGCTGTGACTCCTACTGGCCTTGGTGCTGCCCTGCCGGGCTGTGCTCACGTGGCAGATGCATCCAACACCTCTCCCTGCCCTGCCTTCCTGGGCCTGGAGGTGCCCTGATAGGTATACTCATGCTGTCTGAGGCTTGGGGTCCAGTAGGTCCTGGGACCTCTCCATCTCACCAAGCCAGGCCCTTTGGTTGTAAAGTTCCCACTGACATTTTTTACAACAACAGGCTTTTTTTGCAAAGCTCAGAACCTGAAGTCTCTAAGGGGCCTGCCCCCCAGGGACTGTCTGGATCACAGTGGGACTGGGAACAGTCACGGCCCCAAGCAGGGAGACCTGAGGAGGCCGCTGCAAGAGACACGCCTCAGCTGGCTCAGGACGGAGGAGGATGGGGAGAGGGTGGGCTTGAGGGGACACCCAGGTGCGGTGACCAGGTGGCCATGGAGCGAGAAAAGGAAGGGATCCAGGGCCCTGGAGTGCCTGAGACGGAAGTGAGGGGTGGGGTGCTCTGCTCAGAACACTGCAGACCCCCTTCCTGCCCCAGGGGAGGAGAGGCCGAGACCTGGGCAGGATTCCAAAGGACTTTATTTCTGGCACAAGGAGGGTCGCTGGGCCCACTCTCCTTCCCCGAGGTCCCAAGGCTGCAGGTAGACAGGGCTCGTGGTCCTGCTGAGTGGGAAAAAAAACCCACCCCAGCCCTGCCCCAGCTGTCCCTGGTGAACCTGCTGCTCCAGGGTGCAGGGGCTACACGTCATCCTCCGACACCAGGCAGTAGAAGTCCGTGCGGGCACTGTAGTTTCGGGAGCCAAGGTCCGACACATCCACTTCACTGCCTTGGCCCTCTCCAAGCGAGACCCCACTTGCATGCGGTGGAGCTGCTGGCTCCCCAAAGACAGGCCCTCGTACACCTGGGGAGGGGTACCGCCAGGCCTGAGGCTGGGCTGCCCACAGCCTGCCTTCTGCCAGGGTCACTCCCTGCTGCCCCTCCTGCATGGTGGTATTTGAGGACCTGGAGGTTCCCAGTCAGGCCCCGGGCCCGACCACCTTCATGGAAAGAGGCAGTGGGAGGTGCTGGGAATTAAGCCCATCCACGGGCTGCAGGGAGCAGTCCCTGCCACCTGGACCCTTTTTGGGGCTCCACCTTATGCAGCCCCCCTCCAACTCAGGCTGAGCTTCTCAGGGTCGGGGTGGGGCCGGTGGGCATACCCAAGTCCCCCTCAGGGTCAGGGTCCAGCTCCGGGTCCAGGGTCCGACCCTCTGGGACCCGGCCTCCCACAATCAGCATGGGGTCCTTGTCATCCTGCAGCCGGGTCTGGGGGTCTCCCTCCATCGCTCTGTACTGCACCTTCCGTGGCAATGCCAACTGTAGCTCTTTCCAAAAATCGGAGGAAGGTGTCTGGAGGCCAAGGTGGTGCAGTTAGCGAGCGTGAACAATTGAGGGGGGTGGTGAGGGGGTGCCAACACGGAAAGACCCTGGTCTCCTTGGCCCCAAAGAGCCCATTCCTCTGGGCGGCTGACCATGGCACCTCCACCCACGGGCTCCCATCCACAAGCCCCCTCCCTCCCCGCCCCCTGCCCCTCCGCACCACGGAACCGGGCCTCCAGATCAGCAGGGTCACCAGGTGGCGATGCTGGCGCAGCAGGCGGAGCGCAGGGTGTGCGGGGTCGCGCCGCTGGCCCTCGAAAGTGATGAAGATGGGTCTGCGCGTGAGCTCCAGCAGCCGGCACAGGCCCTCCCTGCGAGGGCGGCACAGTCAGGGGGGGCGCAGTTGGGGCCCACCCAGCCCCGCGCGGGACCCACCGGAAGCTGTGACTGCACCAGGTCCGGCCGAGGAAGGCGTCGGACAACACCACGACGAGGCGCCGGCAGCGGCTCAGGTTCACCAGGAGGTCGGCCGACGGCTCTGCGGGAACCCGGGCATCGGCGGGGGCGGCGCGGACGGGGCCCTAGAAGGGGCGGGGCCCTAGCCTGGGCCTGAGGAGGACCCGAGGGGGCGTGGCCCTAGGAAGGCGGGATCTGGGCCGGAACAGGGGCGGGGCCCGAGTAGAGATGGGGCTGGGCCCTGCACGGGGAGGAGGCGGGCTTTGAGGGGCGTGGCCCTGGAAAGGCGGGGTCTGGGCCGGAACAGGGGCGGGGCCTGCGCCCCGGATCGGGGCTGGGCCCGAGCGGAAAGGGGCAGGGCGCCGCGGTACCCGCGCGCGGCAGGAGGTCGCGGTCCTCCAGAAAGAGCTTGTAACCCCGACGCCGCTCCAGCTGCGGCTTCAGGATGAAGTTCACGAACTTCCGGTCCTCGGGGCTGTCGCTGTAGGAGACGTAGGCGTCGTAGAGCTTCCCGTCTGCGGACGGCGGCGGGTCAGCGCGGCCGCTTTCCAGGCCTAGGCTTGCCACCCTCGGGGCCCCCTAAACCTACCCCCTTGTGCCCCGGGGTCCAGGCCAGCCCCCCAGACGCAGATCCAGCAGATCTCGGCCCCGGGCCCCGCTTAGACCCCTCCTCAGCACAGGATTCCGAGTGGAGCCCTGGAACCAGGCTACCGTGGCGCCCTTCTGCCGGCCCTGTGCCCTCCTGGGCTGTACAGAGACACCCCCCTTTCCTGGACTGGGATCTCTCCAGTGCCCTCCAGGGACGGATGCCTCCTCGCCCCCACCTCCAGAGCCAATCCCCCCCACCCAGAGCTGAGCCTAGGGAGGCCCCGTGGCTGACTCCGCCTCCCCATGCATCCGCGCCCCACGCACCGTTCATCTCCACCTCCCCATACGTGTCTTGGTACCAGAGCAGTACATTGAGTCGACACTTCGCGTATAGCAGCGCTGCCAGCAGCAGGACCAGCAGGACCAGAAGTGAGGCCAGCACCGCGGCCACGTGTCCAGCCAGGCCTGGGGACAGAGCCACTGACTGAGCCAGCCCAGCACCCTCCAAGCCTAAAGGCTCCCCAGGCCTCCCTCCTACCTTCTGCCCCACTGGACCCCACTCACCAGCTCTCCAAAGAGTGAAGGAAGAGGAGCTGATGTTCTGGACGGAGCAGGTGAAGGTCCTGAAGTCTTCAGTACTGGTCAGGTTGATCCCCAGGACACTGGACACAAGCATCTCTGACCAGTTGGCCTTGACCCTGGGGAGACCAGGCCCCACCCCCTCACCTGGGGCCCGACAGCATCACCGGATGCCCCAGAGCCCCACTTGTCTGGGACTCACCCAGAGAGGCTGTAGATTTGGGCCTCCTGGCCAGTCCTTGGGCCATAAGCTAAGAGAAATGGCCAGAACATGAAGGGGGTGTGGATCTCTTTTGGGACAGTCACCCTAATCCTGGATCTGGGTCCTGGGGGTCCTCAGATCCTAGGCTTGGCCCGACGGTCAGTGAGTAATTCAGGCTGTAGGACTCTGCTGGCCCCCATGGCCCTGGGTGGTCTACAAGGTGAGTGTCTAGAGGGGCCATCTGTCCCTGCAGTCACTGACTCAGTGTGCATCCAGAGTGGCACTCTGCCCATGGCATGTCTGGCCAGTCACTCCCCAGTCCATGTCCAGGTCATTACAGACCAGGGTGTAGGTCAGAGAGGCCACTGGGGGGGGTTATATCCAGCGTGGTCACCTGACCCTGGACACTCTCATCTCTTACCAGGAGTCCTCATGGAGGTCATAGTGGCTTCCATTGCCCAGCAGCAGCCCATCTCTCAGCCACTGGACCGAGGGCAAGGGGCAGTGGGGCCCAGAGACCACTGAGGCCGTGCAGTTCAGAGTGACCACACTGCCCAGGGCAGGCCACAGGACCTGGTTTCCAGATGGGGAGAGGAAGTCAGGGGCCCTGTCGCAGGCTCCTGCAGAGAGAGGACCGAGTGGGTTAGCTGTGCCCACGATGCCAGCCTCCCACTGTCCACAGATGGTCTGTGGGCCAGAAGAAAACCACGGTGGCCAGTGGCATGTGCTGCTTGGTAACCACACCACGTCTGTCCACACGTCCCACGGGGGACAGGGCCTGGCATTTGGCACATCTAACCCCCGCAGCAGCCGGTTCGTATGTGTTCTGCCTGCCCCAGATGTGGCTGCCCGTCCCCAGAGAAGATGTTAGCACGGAGTCATGGCTGAGCTGGCCCAGCACCGCCCTCCAGCTCAGCAGGGCCCGCCTAGCTGCCTGTCTACCCAGGACGTGAGCCAGCACACATTTCCTGTGTGCACCTGTCGCCCACTGCTCTGATGCCCAGGCCCCGGCCCCTCTGCTGGACACCAGTGGTTTGGGGGAGTCAGGGGTTGGGCGTCAGCACCTTCCACCTGGTATGGGAGCTAGGGGTTCCAGGACCCTCTACTCCTGGCTACAGGCAAGCCTTCTCACCTCCCCAAGATCTTTAAATTGGGGTGATGAGCCGGAGCCGGTAGTCATAGAAGACCGCCATCATCTTGGTAGTGTGGTCTCCCAGCAGCCCACCCCCAATGGCCCCCCACCAGCGCCCACTCCCAGTATCCCTGGGCTTTACTGACCCCCACGAGCCTGGTATAGAGGGCTTGGGCAGGAGACGGTGTGGGCCCATCCTAACCATGGGGTCAGGACCCCGGGCCATAGGGGAGGGGCAAACAGGGGTCTTTGTACCCCTGGCTTGAGGCCAAGCAGAGAGGCCAGGCCACACTGCAGCGTGGAGCCAGCCTGAGGGGCAGGAGGTGGGAGTGGAGCCCGTGCCCATCCCTCTCTGGCCGTCTACCTGCCATGGTCTGGCCGGGGCCTCCTCGAGGCAGGCTGGACACTGGTGCCACCCACGGCTCCCCGGGGCTCCTTGGCCGAGCAGACTGATCCCTCAAGGGCTGGGCAGGATTCACTCTCTGTCCTTGTGGCCAGTCAGTCAGGGCACCAGGATGGGTCAGAGGCTGCCGCCATCCCCGGAAGCAAGTTAAACAAGAACAGGATAAGTTAACGTGTAACTCTGGCCACTGAAGCACTGCCTCTGCCCCAGCTGCCGCGTGGAGGCCCCAGAGCACCAGGCACAGCCTAGACTGCACGTCATCTGCCCCAGGGACACGGTGACAGCCCAGGGTGGGACAGCACTCCCGGCACACCTCGTGAGCCCAGGAGTTGGCCTCGTTCCCAGGTCCCCTGGGACAGGGCTGCCACACACAGGCAGGGGGGCTGCAGTACAGCCGCACTCAGCCTGTACCGAGGCTCCAGGGGGCTCGGGGTTCTCGAGTGCTGGGCTGCCTGACTTAGCCTCACTCCCAGCCATGGGGTTTTGTTCTGGACGCCGTCCTGGGTGCACCACGCACGCGTGAACCCTGCACTTGAGGCTGCACTGGGCCGAGGTGTCGAGGCAGGAGGGGTGAGCGGAGGGTCATGCTGGTCTCACGGGGCAGCCCTCCTTCTGGGTCCTGTGCTGGCGCCTCCACCCATTTGTCATCTTCAGACCCAGACAGTTTTGTCCACAGTGTCCATATAGTTGTCCAAGGGAAGCCCCCACCCGCCCACGGTGACCTTTCTCTCCTCCACGGGGTCTGGGACCACTCCCGGCCAGACTGGCAGCAGCCACATGCCTCTTGACCCAAAAAGCTCTCCAGTGACCTGGGCTGAACGGCGGGGCACGAAGCCCCAGTGGCAGAGCCTTTGAGGAAGACTCCTTGGCAGCCGGGCCCTGGGCACCTCCTCCCTGGTGCCCAGCGGGTATTTACTGGGCACCTAGTCCTCCCCCTGCTCCCTGCTAAGTGGACACACCAGGGCCCCGGCTCCTTCAGGCCCTCCCCCCACCCGTAGGGCCCCTGAGGCTTTGCAGGGACGAGTCTTAGCCTGCCCCCCATTCCTTCGGCACGGGTGACCCGATGTTGACCCGTGATCAGCTGGAAGCCCCTGGTTTGGCTGGGCTGGGATTTCCTCAGAAATCGGTGGAGCATCTGGCTCGTTCCCGGGGGGCTGCTGCGGAGGGTCCTTCCAGAAGTCCTTTGGAGTGGAGGGCAGTCCTGGGAAGGCCCTTGAAGCAGGAGGACAAGCCCACTGAGGGCTATGGGAGGCTGGGCGGCTCACGCCCCCTCCCCCAGCCCAGCGGGTCCCAGGGCAACTCCTACAGTGGCCCCTTGGCCTCTGTAACCTCAGAAGACCTCCTACCCCTGGAAAGGCAACCTCGGACCCTCCTGGAAATTCAGGCCAGACCACATGGCCAGGCGACAGGTGTCCCCCTGCACACCCTCCGCTGCAACCCTCCCCATCCTCTGTATAGTCTGTGTTGTACGACCGCCCCCTGCATGCCCCACACATGCCTGCACGTGCACACTCCCCACACCTCCGACACTCTGGCAGTCCACACACCTGGCACACCCCACGCCACACACACTGCACCTCACACCCATCCGCAGCCTCCCATCACCCCTCGCTCTCTCACTGGCACACACGCACCACGCACACACGTGCACACGCAAGCCACGTGCTTTGCGGGCCTCCCCTCAGCCAGGCCTGATTTTGAGGAGAGGGCTCAGGCCGGAAAAGGCATCCAAGGACGAGAACACAGGCTCACGCTGAGCAGCGAGAACACGAAGTCACCTGGTTCCAGCTCTTTCCTCCTGAGGAGGGGATGTCCGTCACTGAGGTCATTCACGTGTGCTTGGGAGCAAACTGTTTGCTCGGCTGGGCCCCCGGCCCAGTCCAAATCACCACGGCTGCCCCAGACGCATCGCCAAGCACGGCGAGGACCTGGCTTTTGTTTGTGCGTTTTAATAAGAACTTTCCCCGTAGCTTCCTGGCTTTGCAGTCACATCCTCTCCTCAACCTAAACCCCACCCAGGCACCCACCCTCCTCCCCAGCGGGCTGGCGGGCGGGCGGGCAGTTGGTGGTTCTCCCCGCCAGCCCCGCCTGCCCCACTCTTCCTGTAACTCTGAGTCAAGCAGCTCCTTCCTCTAGGGCCCGCCCCAGCCCACCCGGGCACCGGCACCGTCTTTCCCTTCCCAAGGCTAGGCCTGGGTGAGCGGGGAGGTGGCAGAAGGGCTGGGGGCCACGGTGATATGTGGAGGTCCTGGCCAGTGGACCCCCAGTCAGGGCCATCCTGCACACGCCTGAGGAGCTGGGCAGTATGGCCTGCTTCCCGGACACTCCCTATGGTCCCAACACCCAGGAGATGGGGGGGGTGTCTCCACGTAGCTCCCCGGGCCCCAGTGAGCAGCCCCGATGTATCTCTGACCTCTGACCTGCCAGGGTGATGGGTGGGGCTCCTGTGGAAACTCTCACCAATAACGGGCCCTTGAACAGGGCTCTCTGGCCCCCTCCCTGTCCACCTCCCAGGTGTAGCCCCCAAATGGTGAGCAGTTACAAGGGGGCTGGGGTATCACATGGACCTTAAGCCCCCTCTTCTAGATAAGGAAGCAAACAGGAGGCGTCAGCAAGGCTCCCAGCTCTGAACCCAGGTGGGGGAGAGCCGACATCTCCTGGGGTCACAACAGACTCCCCCGCACCACCATCCCGGACTGACCTGGAACTCAGGGCCCAGCACTGGTGGCTGATGGCGCTGCTCATAGCAATCGGGCAGGGTCCCCTGTGGTCCCTGTCCCTGCCCTCACCCTCCAGGGGCAGAGCATCCTCACTGCAGCGTCAGCTTTCCTACATCCTTAATCTGACCCTGTCCAAGGCCCCCTGCACAACGCCCGGCCCCCCGTGGCCTCCAAGACCCTTGGACGATGGTGCATCTTGGGCTCAGGGTCCAATAGAACTGGAAGAAGTCCTGACTGCACCCCTTCCCCACCGAGCCGCAGCTCCTCCAAGGAGCCCCAGTGGGCCCCGAGGTGAGTGAACAGAGTAAGCACCTGATGGGCAGGCTAGTGGCCACCAGCAGTCAGTGACCTGCCCGGGAGAGCCCAGGCAGGAGGCGAAGAGCTAGGTTCTCCCTGGTGTCCCCACCTGCTTTGCTGCCTCTCAAAGCTCCTGCCAGACTGCCTGCCTCTCGGCATGCCCACCCGCACCACCACCTCACAGCCGCGACTGGGCGCCCGTCCCCCCTTTGCTAACGCCCACCCTCACCCTCCCTTGTCCCCCAGGCCCACTCCACAAAGTGAGCAGAAAACCCCACTTCGCCTCAGGCACTCTCGAGAATAGCCCTTCCGAATCCGAGCCCGCCCCCTGCACCGCCCACCGCGCTCGGCCGCACCCGCGCGGTTCCTAGGAAGCCCTAGCCCCTCCCACCCACCGGCCTCACGCTGGCTCTCCGCCTCCCCGGAGCATCGGCGTCGGCCTGGCCGCCGGGCGCGCGCCCGCGCCTTGTCCCCAGGCGCCCAGCCGTCTGATTTGCTGCTCAGCACCCCAGTCTCTGAGCGACTCCCCCTCATCTGGGACCGGCGGCCCCTCTGCGCCTGGCGCGTGCTTCATCCCCGGACGTCTGTCCCGAAGGAAAGATCTTGCACAAAGCGCTGTGGCCCCGCGAGCCGAGAGGCCCCCTCCTGCACCCCCGGGCCCGCCACACACCCCACACCCGCGCTCCGCCTTCCCGGAGGGGCGTTAGTACCCCCTTCCTCCGGGTGGGGTGAGCCAGGCAGGGCGCGCACGTTCGGGGGGCGCGGGGGCGGGCAGGTCGGGGGCGCGCACGGAAGGGCGGGGTGCGCGGACGGCTGTAGCTCCGCCCGGACACAGGTGCGCAGCGGCTTCAGCAGGTTTCTCCGTCCGCCCCCGGCGCCCTGGGAGGCCTCGGGCCTGGGCTCGGACTTTGGGGCGGAGGCGGGGTCCCTCAGCGCCTCGGCGCTCCTCTTCCCTCTCCTGGCCGAGGGCCAAGTCGGGCGGAGCGGGAAGAGCGGCCCTCGCCCCCGCAAGGCCGGAGGGCCGGAACGAGGGTGAGCTCAGGCTTCCGGGCGACGCGGGCAGCGGGCTCGGCTCCGAGGCTCTTCCTGCGGAACCGCACCCGCCACGGTCCAGAGGCTCCCCGGGGCAAAAGGCGCCTTGGCCCCCCCCCCAAGCTCCAGGCCCGGTTCTGGCTCCCGGGAGCCGGCGACCTCCACTCACCTCCGCAGGTAGGAGCCGCGATCGCCACTCACCTGCTGCCAAGACCCGGGGCTTGCGCGGCCGCGAGGGTGGAGCGGCTCACCTGGGCCAGGTGCGCAGCGGCGACAGCCCCAGCGACGGTGGCAGGTGCAGCCCCGCCCAGCAGCCGGGGCGAGGGCGGACCCAACTGTCCAGCTTCGAGCCTCAGGCTGGTGTTCAAGACGGTCCTGCGCTCGGCCCCCTGGAGCCGCGGCCGCCGCGCCTGGGGGCAGAGGCCAAACCGGCCCGACCAGCTCCGAGAGTCTCGGTGCCCCAGAACTCCTCGGAAATTCCACCGTCCCCAGGAGCACCTGGTGCGGTTCTGCCTCTCCTCCCAAGCTCTTTGTCTTCCTCTAGGAAGCCTGCCTTGACTCCCGCTCCTAAACCCGAGGTGCAGGGAGGGTAAGACCTCTGTAAGGCACCCCTCACTTGGAAGCCCACGGAAAACCAGAGGAGGGCGGAGGCTACCACATTCCGGGCCTCTCCCCGTCACGGCCTCAGTTTCCCAGCTAGCCCTGAGGGCAGACGTAATCGGCCAGAAGCCCAGAAATTAACACAAAGCAGTTTTATTTTATTAGAGAAAACTCTGCTGATTGAGGGGAGCCAGTGGGGTGGGGCAGGATCTGGGGCCCAGGAAACTGGGCCAGTTTTCCTGTCGAGACGGCATGAGAAGACAGGACAGGCCTGCACTGTCTCCCCCCCAACCCCGCCCCAGTTCTCTGGGTGGCAGGGGTCACTCAGAGTTCACGTCAGGCAGTACCAAGCCTGAGCCCTCACAGGTGGAACAGGCCTCCCAGACCATGGACAGGTGTGCAGCTCACAGACACCTCAAACATACAGGGGCTCCCAGGACCCCCACATATACGCGGGTCTAATTAAAGCCCGCCCACACACACACACAGCCAGGGCTGGGGTGGGCGGTGGTGGCAGCAGCTCTGCGTCTTGGCCTCTGGACCGGCTCCAGGCCCGCTCCATGTCTGTGCTCTCGGCCGGAGTCTCTGGTACTTCGGGACTCGGGGCCAGGCCCCGGCAGCCCCGCCTCCCCAAGTCTCTGGTGCTTCCTCTTCAGGACTTCGTTCTTCACCCACTGAGGCACATCAGGCACAAACCAGCCAGCAATGAGCTTGACGCATAAGGGCACGTGCTGGGAGGGCCAGAGTGGGGAGGTCAAGGTGCGCTGAGCAGGGACTTTAGGGGGCAGGGGCCCAGGGAGGGCTGCAGAGAGCTGCCCCGCCCTGGGGCCTGTCCCCAGTGTTGGCTCACCTCGAAGAAGATGAGGAAGGTCAGATGGACGGCCAGGAAGAACCAGGGCTGCTCAGTGAAGTTGGAGTTCTGAGCGGTGCCACAGTCCCGGTACCTGGGGTGGGGAGCACCTGAGGTCAGGAGTCAGGAGTTCAGAGGGTGCTCACAGGGGATGGGGGTCCAAACCTGCACTCAGTCACATTCTCTGAGCCCTCTATTTCAACAGGATTCTGGAAGTCCTTGGTGTAGAACACGGACAGGCTGTGGTTGACGTAGCCCGTGAGGCAGCTGGGGGGAGGGGGAGAGGAGTTTGGTGTGGTCCCTTCAGGCTTCTGGGGTGCTGGCTTGTAACCGACCCCTGCCTGGTGGGGGCCATCAGGGTGTGCCACAGTGCAGACCCCCCTCCTTCATCTCTGTACATGGGAGAGGGGCCCCTGGGGGAGGCTGAAGGGACTTGCAGGTGCCACCACCTGCCTTCCTTGCCAGGGGCCGAGGCTTCCTTGCCAGCCTTACTGGGGGAGACCTACCCCTGGAGACCTGCCCCCCTGCAGGGCTGGAGGAACTGGATGAGGACAGCATGCAGACCACTAAGGGTCTGCCTTTGGAAGGGGAGCCATTCCAGTATCACTTGCTCAGAAAACAGCTGGTTCTGGGACGTTAATCCCCTACTGGGGTCCCAGTCAGCACTCCCGGGGTCCACTCAGGGTCTGCAGGTTGCTGTGGGAGGGCAGCCCACCCCAGGCAATACTGTTAGCATTGAGCCCTTCCCTGGGGTCCCCTGGGGCTGGGCCATGGTTGGGCCAGTTTCCCAGGGGTCTCTGGACAGTTTGAGGCTCCCCCAGGGTCTGTGTGGCGGTGTCCCCTTACTCGACTGCAGGGTGGACCCCCTGTCGGCACGGGCCATAGCAGTACTTGTACACCACTCGGGGGATGAACTCAGATGTGAAGGCGATGACCATCCCGTCGGCAATGACGGCCAGCACCTGCAGCCAGGTCCCTGGGCCACGGCAGGGGGTGAGGCCTGCACTGTCTCCCCCCCCCCCGCCCCCCCACCTCTGTTGATCCCCTGAAGCTGGGAGCCTGGATGGTCAAGGGCCTCATCATGCCTCTGTTTGTGGCAGCCACAGGGCCAGGTCCCTGATGAGGAAGACCTGGGCCAAGGCCAACAGAGAGCAGCCTCCACTCTCCTGCACCCCTCTTCTTGATGTGGACAGGGAGGGGCTCAGGTCTCCGCCCCCTATCTTATGCCTGAACCTTTCGGCTGCCCCCAGGCCTGCTCCACCTCCTGGGTCCCCTCCCCAGGGCAGACCGCCTTAACCTGGTCCCAAGTATCCCTCACACTTCTCTCTCCCACTGCCTATGTCCAACGCCGCATCTCCTGGCTTCATCCCTGACACCTGTCCACCTCAGCGAGGCCAGTCAAGGTGACTAAGGCCACCTGCTCTCAGTCCCTGTGCCCAGCTGCTGGACCCCTCTCCCTCAGCTCCCTGAGAGTCAAGCCGTTCTGCACGGCCTCCGCAGGGCGGCTGCTGGCCCTTCAATGGGACCCCTGGGGGGGAACGGCCTGCGAGGTGCCTGCCAGCCCCGCCTCTTCCTGGGGCCTGAGCCCTGCCCCCATGGCTCAGAGCGGTGGTTTCAAGGGGACTGGCGTGGCCCCAGCGCGCCTCGCGGCTCATGCCCCCCTGGCTGGAGCGCCCGCCCTCAGGCCGCCCCGTCGGGCCCCTGACCGATGTCCTTGGCCTTGCGGGGCACCAGGCGCCGCTGCACCTGGACCATCTTGATGGCGTCCAGGCGGATCTCCACGAGGCTGTTGAAGAGCGCCAGCAGCGGGGCAAGCGGGAAGGCGGCCACGAAGACGGTGGTGAAGCCGTACTGGATCACTGGGGGTGGGGGTCGTCACCGTGGGCCCCCGCGCGGTGCCCGCCCGCCCGTCCGCCCACCAGCCCCGCCCCGCGTACTCATCTCCATGAACTCCTCGAACAGGCTGAAGGTGTTGACCGGGTTCAGGCGGTAGTTGCGCCGCCAGTGCCTCAGCTCGGGGTCCTGGGACGTGGCTCGCATCGAGCAACACTTGTTGGCCAGGCACCTGCGAGCGAGGAGGGCCGGGTGGGGGACGGGGAGGGGGGCTGAGGACCCCTCGGGACTGCTGGCTCTGGGAGGTGGGGTCCTGTGGGTTCGGGGGCTCCCTGCGGTGAGGGTGGCGCCCCGGGAGGGAGGGTGGTCCTCACGCGCCCAGGTACTCCATGCAGTTGCTGAGCGTTTGTTTCAGACCCATGATGATGGCCACCTGCACGAACAGGTCCGTCATGCAGCCACTGAGATGGCACTGTGGGGGCAAGGGTGAGAGGTCAGGCACGGGGCCTGGGGGTGACCAGGGGGTTGGGGCAGTTCAGGAAGAGGGCAGTAAGGCCTCCGGACAGACTGACCTCCTCCAGCTTCCACAGCCCTGCCAGGCGCACGGACTTCCCGGGGTTACCGTTGATCCTGGGAAGGGCAGCGAGGCTGAGAGAGGGGACAGGACAGGAGTGGGAGTCGGGGAGCAGTGGGGCCTGGAGGGGAAGGAAGGAGACCCGCCCCGCAGGTGAGCAGAGGCTAACCCAGACAGGCCTGCGTGTGCGCAGGACCGCCGGGGACCTCTCAGCTGTTCACAGGCTCAGGAAAGGCTGTGAGGAGGGGCCTCAGTTTCTCCCCAGGTAACTGTGCACACAGGGCTACTTTGTGTTTAAATCACCTGATTTCCATGATAAAAAAGGTATGTTTAACCAAACGTTGGGCTTATGCTCAATGGTGAAGTCCTGCAAGCACTCCTGTTACTACAGTTCATGACAACTACTATTCCAGAATGGTGTAACTTTGCAAAGGAAAAACTTGTTGTAGAAAATACGATTATATATCTGGGAAACCAAAATAAATCAACTGAACGATTGGGCAGATAAATCTGAAAAATGCTCAGAGTGGATATAAAATTGATATCAAGCTCAACTCCCTTTTGCTTTCCTAGGTGCAACAAAACCACCAAGAAATGTAGCAGGAGGGAATATCTGTCACAGATAGCAGCGAAAACTATAAAATAGAGTGAAATTCACAGGAAATGTGGGGGACCCATAAGAAGAAAACTATAACACAGCTAAAGAACATTAAAACAACATTGAATAGAGGAACCTTGTTCTTCGATAGAAAAACTTACGCTTGTATTTTTGTGACAGGTGGAATGTCAGGCCGCCAAAGATACCACATCCAATTCCTGGAACCTGTGAATATGTTATCTGACATGGCAGGTGGTAATCAGCTGACCTTAAAATGGAGAGAGAATCCTGGATTATCTGGGTGTGCCCATTGTAATCACCAGAGTCCTTAAATGAGTAAGAGGGAGAGCCAGAGAGATGTCAGGATGAGAAGGACTCAGCCTGGCACCACTGGCTTTGCAGACACAGGACGGAGCGGGCCAGGCAGCCTCTAGAAGCTGAAAAAAACAAGAGTATGGACTCTCCCCGAGGGCCTGCAGACAGAACACAGCCCTGCTGACACCCTGATTTTAGCCCAGTGAGACCCATTTTGGACTCTTGGCCTCGAGAACTGTATGTAATGTGTGTTGTTTAAAGCCACTAAGCTGTGGTCAACAACAGAAAATTAATACAGTATCTATGTCAATTCTCCCTAAAAGAATGTATAATTTCACTGCAGTCTTAAGCTAAATCCCACAGAATTTTGATGGAGTTTGACAAACATTACTTTAAAGTTCACCTAGAAGAATAAACACGTAAATAACTACAAAAAAGGAAAAGTGAAAAAGAAGAGAAAAAGAAAATTAACGCCAGACCTATCTGACAGGAAAGCATTACAGTAGTAATGACACAGAAAGGTACTAGACCAGAATCGTCAGAATCCACGGAGCACCAAAACAGTCAAGTGAATGATGGAACTTGCTGTGTGACAGAAGGGTGGTGGTGGCGATGGAACAGTCAACAAATGGTTTGGGGACAACTGGCTGTCACTTGGAAAACAACAAAACAGGCTTCCCTCCTTTGCCGCCTGCAGCAAAACAAATTCCTTGTGAACCAAAGATTTAAATGTTTAAAATGTTGAAACCATAAGCATCTGAGGGAAATCACAGCTGAACTTTTTTTTTTTTGCTCCGGACGCGAGGCTCAGTGGCCATGGCTCACGGGCCCAGCCGCTCCGCGGCATGTGGGATCTTCCCGGACTGGGGCACGAACTCGCGTCCCCTGCATTGGCAGGCGGACTCTGAACCACTGCACCACCAGGGAAGCCCCTGAACATGTTTTTAATGTTGAGGAGGGGAGGCCTTTTTGAGCACGGCATGAAAAACAGGAACTATAAAGAGACACACTGATAACCTTCGTGACAAAACAGAAACGGCCTCCAGAGAAACACGAGTGACTGCACAGGCTCCTGCCTTATTTTCCCAGGGATGCCACATGCAGGGCCAGTACACAAAAGGTGCCAGACTCAGGCTTCTATCTGCCTCACCACCTGCTGACTGTGCGACCCTGAGATCGTTTCTTAACCTTTCTGTGCCTCGGTCTACTCATCTGTGAAATGGGGTTTAGAGAGTCCCTACCCCATAGGGCTGTTGTGCAGATTAGAGCTGATGAATGTGAGGCCCTTAGGATAGAATGGGTGAGTGTCAGCAGACGTGAGTTATTATAAAGACATATCCCATCCTGCCAGGGAAAACCTACTCAGTCCTTCGTTCTTCAGTATGAACGGACAGCTACAAATCTTCAGGCACGAGGAAAACCAGCTGTACAAAAGAGAAGGACTACGATGAAGGAACAGGAAGATGGACCCTTTAGGAAATGAGATAATGAGGAAACAGATGAGAACTTAAGGGGAAAAAAGAACATTGATATCCTCAAGAAAGTACTGTATCTGTGGAAACAAGAAAAGGACACTATAAAAAAAAAAGGATAAAAAAATAAAAACCCTCTTGGAAATTAAGACTTTAACTGTTAAACTTAAAAAAAGAAAACAGGGACTTCCCTAGTGGTCCAGTGGCTAAGACTCCGTATTCCCAATGCAGGGGGCCTGGGTTCAATCCCTGGTCAGGGAACTAGATCCCACATGCCGTAACTAAGAGTTCGCATGCTGCAACTAAAGATCCCACGTGCCACAACTAAAACCCAGTGCAGCCAAATAAATAAACATTAAAAAAAAAAAAGGCAAAAAGACAAAGTGAAGGAAATCTCTCCAGATGTGGAATGTAAAGACACAGAGATGGAATATATGAGAGAAAAACATAAGAAACCCAAGAGGACCAGGCGTTCCATAGAGAGCAGAGGGGAAAAAAATATTTTTAAAAACCTAAGGAAAAAAACCCAAAAAAACTAAAAATAGAACTACCACCTGAACCAGCAATCCCACTCCTGGGCATATACCCAGAGAAAACCACAATTCAAAAAGGCACGTGCACCCCAGCGTTCACTGCCACACTATTTACAACAGCCAGGACACGGAAGCAACCTAAATGCCCATCAACAGAGGAATGGATAAAGAAGATGTGGTACATACATACAATGGAAAAGTACTCAGCCATAAAAAGGAATGAAATGCGGTCATTTGTGGAGACGTGGATGGACCTAGAGAGTGGCACACAGAGTGAAGTAAGTCAGAAAGAGAAAACCATCATATGATAACACATACATGTGGAATCTAGGAAAATGGTATAGGTGATCTTATATGCAAAGCAGAAACAGAGACACAGACGTAGAGAACAAACGTATGGATACCAAGGGGGAAAGGGGTGGGGTGGGAGAAACTGGGAGACTGGGACTGACACACATGCATTATCGACACTATGTATAAAATAGACAGCTGATGGGAACATACTGTAGAGCACAGGGAGCTCTACCCAATGCACTGTGGTGACCTAAATGGGAGGGAAGTCCAAAAGGGAGGGGTATCTGTATGTGTATGGCTGATTCATTTTGTTGTGCAGTGGAGGCTAACACAACATTGTAAACCAACCATATACTCCAATAAAAATTAAAAACAACAACAACCTAAGGAAAAACAGAAGAAAACGTAGTGAGCCTAAGCAGGACACGGGCTGTTTCATCGGAAGGTGCCAACAATTGCCCAGCACAGTGCGTGAAGAAAAGACCCACCCTAGATTGTTCCCCTGTTTAAAGAGGAGATCCTAAAGCTTCTAGGTCAACTAGGAAGAAACAAAAATCAGATTTTCTGCACACTTCTTATCATCCATGTTGCATGTTCAAAGACAACGGAGCAATGTCTTTAAAGTTCTAGAAGGGAAAATTGTTTTGAAGTTAGATTTCTATACCCAGCCATGTCAATCTTGTGCAACAGTAGAACATGACACCTTTAGACATACATGAATTCAGAGAGTTTACCTCTACGATATACCTTCTCAAAATAAATGAAAGCAAAAATCAAGAAAGAAGGAGGCTTGGGAGTCCAGGAGATGATGGTCCTAACCCAGGAAAGCAGCAGATTGAAGTCCCAGGGAGACAGGTATGCAGGAGGCACGGAGAGCCACCAGCCCAGTGTGGGGAGAATGGAGGGCCTCTGGGAGAAAAGAGACTCCATGCAATAGGCAGTTTGACATGGAGAGGCTGGATACCCTTGATAAGATAAAGACATGCAAGGAGGAAAAAAGGCAATTCAAAACAACAGGAAAAATAAAGAGCTGTACCACAAAGAAACGGTCAGATAAGAAGCAGCGTAAAATATGGCATGATGAGTCAGAAGAGAATCCACTTGACCTTGATGTTATAGAAATGCTCAGATGATATGAACAACTTATAGGAAACGAAACTCAATGGCCAAAAAATATCTGGAAAGATGCTGGATTCTCACTAATAGGTTTTAATAACGCACCTTTAAGGTCTTTGTTCATCAGACCAACGTGGAGTGTGCAGTCACGTACACAGTGTGTGGCTTTGTGAGTCAGCACAGCATTTTTGGAGGGTGCTTTAGCAATGTCTCTCAATTTAAATGTGCACTGCCGACTCCCAGTTAAAATGGCTGGCTGCCCACACCCACTGCCAGGCATCACCTCGGAGATGGAAGGGAACTGGAGAGGCCTGCAGCCCACTTGAGACATCAAGCTGGATCTAAGCCTGCAGGGAAGACGTCTGAATAGCAACACAACCCTGCCCAAGAGCCTGGAACACCCCAGGACTTGGGCACCCCTGGTAGCTTGGGGGCACCCACTGGATGGGATGCAGGCCCGGCTGAACCCCTGGGCCTCCTATCCAACCCCTAATCCACCCCCCCCCCCACACACACACAAGACACACACACACAAGAAGACAAAGACATTTCTAGGGGGTTGAACAACCAAAGATTCAGATCGCAGGGTTGGGCCAATGGACACTGAGACCCCACGGTGTCCCTTCCCCAGCTGGGCTCCCAGCATACTGACGGGCATCCTTCTGCCTCCAGGCAGGAGACCAGGGATTCCCCTTCAGGAACCGACACAGCAAGAGGTCCCGACAGGAGACACATGGTCCAGAGCAAAGCCACTGGCACATGCCTTTCTCAATTACAGACAGGTGGCCAAGAATAAAAGACATCTAAGGCGGGGGGGGGGTGGGGGTGGTCTCTAACACCAGAATCAGAGACCAATCAAAGAAAGAGCATAAAAGAAACTCGAAAGGAACAGAAGAAATGCCAGAGTAGAAGGGAAAAAAAGAGGCCACATCCTCAGAAAAGAAAAGCCCTGGTGTCCAGGTGACATGAAGAGGAGGCTGTGAAGAATCTGCACATGTCAAGAGGAGTGCTCTGATATTAAGAACATAAGCAGAAGTGAAACGTTCAGTAGAAGGGTTGGAAAACAGTTGAGAAAAGCTCCAAGAAACTGGAACAAGAATGGGAGAAAAAAAGCGAAGAAAAGTAGATGATCAATTCAGAAGGTCCAATTTCCAAACAAAAAGAATTCCTCAGAAGGGAGGAGAGGGAGCTGAAGCAGGAGGCTATCAGGTACATGAGAAAATCTCTCAAAACTGAAGGCCCTGAGGCTCCAGGCCCAGTGAGTACCTGGTAATTTCTTTCCATTTGACCAGCATTGATTCTGCACGCCTGGCCGCCTGCAGGAGCTGAGCATTCAGCAAAGGACAAGCGCCCTACCCTCCGCCCTGGGGAGCTGCCATTTCTGAGAGAGACAGTGAACAAATAAATGTGCATCACGTCCTGGGTGGCGACGGCTATGGAGGGGGAGCAAGGGAAGAGCGGAGTCTGAGGGACCAGGGTTCGGGGCCAGGCGATGTTCCAAGGTCAGCAGGAGAGCAAAGGTCAGCGCCAGGAGGCAGTGAGAGTACCGGGGAGGCAGAAGCGCGAGGCAGGAGAACCAGAAACCGGGTTCGCCGGTGAGAAGACTTCCGGAAAGAACTGTGACAGCATGTTTGTGTGATGGTGGAAATCATCCGGCAGAGAGAGGAAAGCTGGCGTGTGGAGGAGAGAGATGTGAATTACCGAAGCTTGTCGACTGAAAAAGACCCACCAAGTCACACGGCTGAGAAATTCCAGAAGACGGGGGACAGTGAGGAGATGCACAGAGAGTTGGAAGAACATTAACGCCAGACTTGCGGAACAGAGCGCTGGAAGCCGGAAACCAAAATACCCTTCGGAAGTCTGAGGAGAACCGTATCCAACTTAGAGCTCTTTCTCCAGCAGACGCTCAGTCAGGCCCCCAATAAAGAGGAAACTCAGCACATATGATTTCCCATGTAGCCTCTCACAGGAAGCCACTGGAAAACTTGGGATCCTACACGGCAGAGAGTAAGGGGCTTCCCAGGATGAAAGGGCCAAGCACAGCCCCAAGAGAAGGGGACAGATGCCACGAGGGCGTCTCCAAGGACCTCATGATGTCTTTGAACATACTGGCAGGAGTTGGTTTCTTCTCAAGTTCTTCTAGAGGGACTTCCCTGGTGGCGCAGTGGTTAAAAATCCACCTGCCAGTGCCGGGGACACAGGTTCGAGCCCTGGTCCGGGAAGATCCCACATGCCATGGAGCAACTAAGCCCGTGCGCCACAACTACTGAGCCTGCGCTCTAGAGCCCACGAGCCACAACTACCGAGCCCGTGTGCCGCAGCTACTGAAGCCCGCACGCCTAGAGCCCGTGCTCAGCAACAAGAGAAGCCACCGCAATGAGAAATGAGAAGCCCGGGTACCTCAACAAAGAGTAGCCCCCACTCGCCACAACTAGAGAAAGCCTGCACGCAGCATTGAAGACCCAACGCAGCCAAAAATAAATAAATAACTGAATAAATAAATTTTGCAAATAAATAAATAAAGTTCTGCTAGAGAGTTTGGGATTAATTGGCAGTATATGTGTAACTTACAACATTTGAACAAACATAGAGAACACATAGAGGAATTATTTTCTTCAGAAAAGACAAGAAAAGATATGTTGATTGAACCAAAAATGTTCATTTCATTAATTAGGAAGGTGAGGGGAAGTGTGTGCATGTGCGTGTGTGTTACATGGGATGCCCACTGCAGCTTTATTTATAAACCTCAAAACTGGAATTAACCCGAATGTCCACCAACTGAAGTGGTTAAATAAATTCAAGGGCATCCCACAAAAGAACGCCCATAGTATGTTTTTAAAAACAAAGCCTCACCACCCATGCAGACATGGAAAACGCCCATAGTACGTTTTCAGTGTAAGGCAGATACAATTATTTACACGACAAAATCACTCATGTCAATAGGTGTATGTGTGTGTACTTAAATGTGTAAAAAAGTTTGGGAAGACCCAACAAACAGTTACAGTGTCATCTCTGAGGACGAGGATTGGACAGTTGGGGGTTCGCTGTGGGCTTCCCTCACATGTGCGCTTCCTTCACATATTTCTGTACTGGGTTTCCACGTGTTCTGAGCATGATTTACTTTAAAAATTAACAAGAACAGGTATTTCTATTTTCAAGGTGGGGAGAAAGGAGTTAGAGGGAGGCATGTGGGAGCAGGTGGCCCTTACCTGCCCAGGATGAAGGCAATGTAGATAAGGGAGGAGAAGTGAGCAAAGAATTGCAGAGTGAAGAACTTGATGGTGAACTTGCTCTCTCGCTCTGAGAAGGTCCTGGGCTTCTCTGGAATGAGATGTGGGGCCGTCCCTCCCCCATCCTTCACCCCGATGACAGCCCGCGCCCAGCCTGTCCCTATCCTGACAACTCAGGGACACCTGCGACCCCCACCTGTCTCCCAGGTGCGAGCCCCTGCCCTCTCGTAGGCCCCCTTCCCCCACCCCAGGGCTCCAAGATCCCCACCCTGAATCCTCCCTCCAGTAGCCAGAGAGGGGCTCAGGGGGGCCCTCCTCTCACCAAAGTCACAAAGCTTCAGTGCCACATATTTGTTGATCTGTGGGAGGGGAGACGGAGGGCTCACCTCGGACCTCAGCAGAGCTGCACCCCCACCGGCACCCTCACCCTGCCCCGACCCCTGCCTTGGTCATGACGAGGATGCGCTCACATAGTGAACCAGGGACCCGGTCACCACCACGGCCGTGGTCACCTGCTCTCCCAGGAAGGGCAAGGCGGAGCTGAAAAGGGCAGCGACCAGGACGCGGCAGATCACCAGGACGTGGGCCATGCCTATCATCAGGCAGATCTGGCGGGGGTCGGGGAGGCCAGGATGGGCAGGCCTCCAGGGGCCGCCCCACCTGCTCTCCAGCCCCACCAGGGGCGCCCCAGGAGTACCATCAACAGAGACAGCAGGAGGATGACGGTACTCCGCGCGTAGCCGGGGCTGGTAGTCAGGGCAGGCAATGAGCCCCAGCACCATTTCCTCCTGTGGACGGCACCGGACACGCCTGAGACACGGGACTCCTCACCCACGGGAACCGCGCCTCATACATGGGGACCCCCTCAGACACAGCAGACTCGTGTGGGCCCTGGGCCTGGTCACCTGGCTCAGCCTCACCTGGTCCTCGTCCCACCCGTACAGGTCCCATTGCAGGACCACACGGGCTCGCTCCCGCTTCCACAACTCCAGGAACACGGTGGCTGCAGCCGGGAGAAAGCAGAGGCCTCACGGCGTGTCCCCGCTGCGTGTGGAGCTCGGCTGCCCCCCGGGTGCCGCAGTGACTCACCCCACAGCGCCGTGAACACGGCGAACAGCACGGTGCCCTCGTTGTCGAAGAGGTGGGTGAGCTGGGGAGAGCGGCACGTGGGGCTGAGGCGGCCTTCCCTTCCCTGGGAGGACCCCCTGGGACCTCTTCCCCGCGGGCGAGCAGCCGCAGTGCCCCACCCCCGCCCCCGGCGCAAACCTTGGCGAAGGCGCAGGTTTCTGAGAGCCGCTGGTACCTGGGGATGTGGTCGCCGCGAGGGCACATGTAGACGTCGTGGGCATCACAGATCTCCCTGCTGGGGGTGCAGGGACCGGGCTGTCGGCGGCGCTTTCCTGTGGCCCCTCCTGTGGCCCCTGGGGGACCCCGCCCCAGGCCGCCCCTTCCCTGACTCCGCCCCACCCTCAGTCCCGCCCCGTCACGACCCCGCCCCTTCACGACCCCGCCCCAGTCACGCCCCCTTTCTGACTCCACCCAGCCCCCTCAGTCCCACCCCCTTACGTGACTCCACCCCGACCCCGCCCCCTCCATGACCCTACACACCCCAGTCCCGCTCATTCCCTGACTCCTCCCCACCCTCAGTCCCTCCCTTTCACGACCCCGCCCTAGCCCCGCCCCTTCCGTGACCTCCCCCACCCCGGTCCTGCCCCTTCCCTAACCCCCCAGTCCCGTCCCTTGCCTGACTCCGCCCCACCTGATCTGGCTGGCTTCGAAATGGGCAAACCCACTCAGGAAGACGATGAGGCCCACCACCGCGGCGGGCACCAGCATGTAGGTGTACCAGCCGAGCCAGGCGAAGTACAGCGCCGCCTTCTCACCGAAGTAGTTCCTAGGGGCACAGCCGTCCCGTCAGGGCCACTCCCAGCAGGGGTGACCGTCCAGCGCCAACGCCGGGGTGAGACATGCCACATGCGGGGGCGGGCAAGGAGCGTCTGTACTGAGGGCATCTAAATGTGTGTCTAAATGGGAGCCCGCACAGCAGTTTGCTGGAGGCGTGGGTGTAACCGCGGGGGGCGCAGGCTGCCTGCGGGGGCGCAGGTGTGTCCGCGGGGGGCAGTAGTACCTGATGTCACCAATTGGCTGCTCTTGGAACATGTTTCTCCACCAGGCCCATTTCTTCTTTAGGTCTTCCTCCCCCTGAGCACAGGCGACAGACAGTGAGAGCTTCTTGCCTCAGGTCCTGCCCTCAGGTCCTCTCCCAGCCGGCCCACCACTCACCTTGTGTAGGGGAAACACGGCCTCAAAGACCCCATCCTTCACCAAATCCTGGAGCGTGTCTGGTGGTCACAGGGATTCTCGGGTCAGAAGGGAATGAGGGGTGAGGGAGGACCCTGTCCCGTTCTCCCCGTGTGACTGCCCCTCCTGGTGGGCTGCTGCCATCCAGTCCTTACCACCAGCTGCCATCTTGCTGTTCAGCACAAAGTTGACAATTTGGATTCTGGAACACAAGAGCTGGCTCAGGATGGCCCTCTATCTGGCCAGGTCCCAGGCCCCTCCTGTGTCCTAACAGAGCCCCCAGACCACCTGACCAGAGCCCAGAATCCAGGACTCCTCTGGGAGCCCACCTCCTTAAATCCTCCCAGGGTCTAGCTGTGCCATGGTTCCAAGGTGGGCCTCCCTCAGGGTGGTCTCTCTCTTCCCAGGGCCCCGATGCTCAGCCCTGCAATAGTCTCTCCCAGATCCCTCCCAGACCTCCCACCTCCAATCACCTGTCCCACCTGGAGCCCCCACACGTCAAGAGCACACTCTTTATGTGCACAAATCCTCTTTGCACCCCTGTGAGCCATTTTGCCTATGGGGCGACTGAAGCTCAGAGAGAGTGAGTAATTTGGTCAAGGCCACACAGCCAGGAAGCGGCACATTCGGGCATCTGACTATACAGTACTGCTCCTCTGGAACATCCTCCTATGAGACACGGCCCCCTGAGTGTCCCAGGGCACTCCCCACAGCCTGCTCCTCTCAGGCCCCATCAAGATGCCTCTATTCATGTGTCCTCCCAAGACCGGCCAGTCCTTCTGTGTTCACAGGAAGCCCCCCTCCACTGCCTCGTATCCAAATTCCAGGAGTGTTCTTCGCTAGTCTCCCTGATTGGGCCCCAGAGGAGTTCAGGGGGCCGGGGCTGGGGCCAGGAAGATGATAGAGGAGGGCTGTGGGGAGGGCAGGTGGGCTGGCTTGGAGGCCTAGAGGATCGGGGTGGGGAGAAGCAGGTGCTTGGAGAGAGAGGAGGTGCTGGGTGCCTGGGAAGCAGGGGATAGATGTCCAGGGAGGGGCATTTGGTCTGGAGGAAAGAAGTCAGGACGTGAATCCAGGGAGATGACCTCAGAGCCTAGGAGAGACAGCTGGGAGGATCCTCTCAGCCTCTCCAAATTCTGCCCACCCTTTAAGGCTGGTTTCTATTCTGCATCTGGGGGACATAGTCACATGTAACCTTCAAACACTTCAAGAGGTGAGAACTGTCATTTTCCCGTATTACAGACATGGAAACTGACTCACAGACCCTTGCCCCCTGGGCCCTCCACCCTGGGACCACTCCTGGGAGCCTTGCTGCCTGTCTGGACCGGCATGTGGGTGGGCAGGGGTCCTCCTGGCCCCACTCTGGGCCAGCCTCTCACCTGGTGGTGGCTGGGATGGAAGTTGGCCTGGCCAGCTCCCCTCTGGGGGCGGTAGCCTCGGGCTCCATGAGAAGGCTGCAGTACCGGCCGGTTGTCAGCTCGGATCCCAAAGAACACCTTCGCCTGGTCCTCCCTCGCCTGAGGGTGGGGGGCAGCATGGGACCCTCTACTCCACATTGGGACCCTCCCCTTCATCCAAAGCCAATGGCCTATCCCCTCCTATCCTTCTCCTGCACGAGGCCTCAGCCCACCTCCCCAGACACCTCCCCGGGATCCGCCCAGTCCCCCGTGACCCCTGCGCCCAGGCGAGGCCCTCAGCCCGCCCACCCTATAGCAGAAGCCCTTCCTCTCGAGCTCTTCCAGGAACTGCTGCTGCCGCTGGACCTGCCTGGGGTTTCTCTGGGTGCAGTGATCAGCCACAAGGACATAGTCCCATGGCTCGGAGGCCTCAGTCTAGAAGAAGGAGGTGTGGGGACTGGGGACCAGGGCGGGCCAGGTGCGGGCCATGGGGCAGTAGGTGGGACCAAGCCCAGGAGAGACTCAAGCAGAGACTCACCTCAGTGGTATTGATGTCCATCTGCAGGGGGCTGTCCCCTTCGGTCCCCACCAGGATCCGGAGGCTCTCTTCTCCCTGGGGGTGAAGAGCAGACGGAGGATGGGGCTCATTGCAGCAGACAAGCACCTCCTGGGCTGGGTGCTCTGGTAGCAAAGGGGTAGTTCCGGGTGGGGCTAAGTGCATGCAATGAGGCTACAGCACAAGTGGCCAGCAGAGGTTGGTTTGGAAATCTATACAAAGAGCTCCCAGAATTCATAAGAAAAGGCAGACAGCCCAGTTTAAAGTGGGCCAGAGATGCAAATGCACACTTCACAAAAGAGGGGCACTCAGAAGCTGAAACCATGGAGCTAGGGAACCATCTGGAAAACGCAGGCCAGGTGACCAAGGAGGCACCACCTTCCACCATTTGGTAACCAACATTTTACGGCCAGACAGCTCTAAAAACACAGGTGTGGGAGTTCCCTGGCTGTCTAGTGTTTAGGATGCAGTGCTTTCACAGCCGTGGCCCAGGTTCAATCCCTGGTAGGGGAACTGAGATCCCCAATGCTGCTTGGTGCGCCCCCCCCCAAAAAAAAAGCCTGGGTGGGACTTCCCTGGTGGTCCAGTGGCTAAGCCTCCGCGCTCCCAGTGCAGGGGGCCCGGGTCCGATCCCTGCTCCGGGAACTAGATCCCACATGCATGCCACAACTAAATCCCACATGCCGCAATGAAGATCCCATCTGCTGCAGCTAAGACCCAGAGCAGCCAAAATAAATAATAAATAAATAAATATTAAAAAAAAAAAAGCCCGGGTGATCTATAAAAATATTGAATGTAATATTGTAAATCACCTGAAACTACTATAATGTTGTAAATCAACTATACGTCAAAAAAAAAAAAAAAGCCCAGTGACTCAGCAGAATCCCCGTGTGTTGCTGTGGCTCACACATTGGTGCTGGAACTTGGGAAACTAAGTTGACCGTCCCAGACACTACACCCCGGGCCAGCCACCTTTGGAGACAGACGAGAGTGCTCACAGCAGCACATTTCATATCAGAATTGTGGAAATAACCCAAATTCCCATCGGTAGGCAGATGGGTGAAAACACTGTGCTATGACCACACACAACAGGAACATGAGGGCCGCCACTGCACACAGGGCGTTGGGGACCAGTGTGACACGGTACTGAGTTTCCTAAAAGTAAGTCCAGTGAGAACTGTGCAGGAGCGACTGCTGCAGGCACGTCCTGGACAGACGGACGGACACTAAAACCAGCGGGCAGAACCTTAAGGGGGAAGCAGATGGTGCCGAGCCCCTGAGTCTCCCTGATTCTTTGTTAAATGTTGCGGCAGCATTAACAAACCTCACACATCCTTCTATGCTCCTGCCTCCGGAGGATGGTGCAGACTCCTCCCTCTCGAGGGTGGGCTGGACTCAGTGACTAATGAAGGAAGCGTGAAAGGGAAAAAGAGTCACCCTACAGAGGAGAAACCTGGCAGATGCCCCCCACCCAGGTGATGAAGGTCAAGGTCACAGTGATGTAATTGAGATGTCAGGGACCTCCTGACAGCATGTGATGCGATAGTACGTGATCCCCACCCTAAAGCCCCTAGTCACATCTCAGCAGAAGACGTCAGAGGCACTTTCACCTGAGCCCGAGTGAGCGGACCCCAGAGTCAGGCAGCCAAGGACAAGGCGGGACGGAGGGACCATCACAGACAGGAGGGGCCGTGGAGACGTGGCGATGATGCCGTGGGGGGTCCCGCACGAGCCGGGAACAGGAGAGGACACGCACGGAAAAGCCGGTGACGTGAGTCAAGGAGGCCATGTCGGGCTCTTAGCTTTGACCAGCGCCCCAGGCGACGGGGCACGGGGGACCATGCACCGTCTTTGTGACTCTACGAAAACTCACAGACCTGTAAAAACTGCACAAGTGGAGTGGAGGGTTCTGGGATTGGCATCCAGGTTGGCGGGGGGGGGGGGAGTGGAGGGGGGTCTTTAGGCTTCATTTACTCCCAGTGAGCAAACAGCAGGCTCTGACTTGCCCGCCTTAGGGGCTAAGTGTCATGTTGGACAAATTCGTAAGTGAAACGGATCCTCACGTGCTTGACTTCAGATCCAAGATGAGGGCTCGCCCCACCTCTCCCCAGGCCCGGGACCTCCTGCAGGAGGACCCTTCGAGGGTCCCTGGTGGACAGTCCCACAGAGCCTGAAAGGAGAGACTCCCTCACATGAGCAGCGGCCTGAGGCTGAAGAACAGGAAGACGGGACCCCAGGGCGGGGAGGGATGGCACAGGGAAGCCACCCTGGCAGGAGGGAGCCTGGGGAAGACTGCCTGTGAGGGACCCGCCAAGACAACAGCGGGAGGCTGGCCCTCAGGCGGCCCCAGAAATGAGCTGCTGGACTTGGTGCAGCTCTGGGGTCCCAGACACCCCTCCCTCCCCAGAGACATCACACAGCTTTGGGACATTACCCAGAGCCTCTTGGAAAAGGGGAACTCAACCTTCCCTGGAGGATGGTGTGTGATCTGGACCAGAGGTGTCCTACGGGCACTGACCCCCACCATTGATTCGGGCCACAGGACAGGGAGACACCCCCCACCGAGGGCAAAGGTACATGCACCCCTCAGGGTTGCCCTGGTCACCCCTGGGCAATGGGCGAACAGTCACAGGAGCGGCCAGGTCTGAGTGCCCCCTGCCCAGTCCTGGTCTAGCCACCCCACACCCCACAGCCGCAAAGGGACCAGGTCCTGAGCATCAGCTTCCTGTACACTCTGGGCTCCCCAGCCCCATCCCCAGGCCACCTGCCACATGCAAGGCCCCTCTCTGGGCCGTGGTCACAGACACAGCCTCCAGCATCTGGCTGTCCATCTGTCCACCTGTCCTCCAGGGAAAGAGGCTTCACAGATGGGAACCAGGTCCACCTGAAGTCACCCCCACCTCCCGCCAACCAGACTGCTTGGTGCACCCGAAGCGAGGTGTCTGGGGCCCCTGCATCCCTGTCTATCAGACCCCACCCCCAGGAAGCCATGTGTGCCCATCAGGCTCCCAAACCCCAGGGCTCCTCCAGGGCTCCCACAGGGGCTACCCTGGCACTCCTGGCCTCAGGGATCCCAGCCCTGCCACGTGCAGACTCCCAGCAAGTCCCTGCATTTGGACGGGGGGCAGGCTCTGGGCACCCGGCTCTCTGTTGTCCTCCCTTCGGCCTTCCAGCCCCCACCCCTGCAGGCCATGCACCCAGGGCTTGGTACAGACTGGAGTCCCAACGGCCTCACCCGCTGGCTCTGCAAGAGGAAACTTCTTACGATGCTGCAGCTCCCGGGAGACCTTCCCAGTCTTGGGAGCCAGAGCTGGGCGAGTCCTGCCCCTGTCTGTCCCTTCCCAGGCCAGCCTCCAGGTCACCGGAGGGGCGAATGCGACTGCCACCCAGCTCCCAGCAGTCCTGGCCCTGCGGGCTACGGGGAGCACCCGTGTGACATCACCCCAGCTGCATGTGGCACACATAGGCCTCCGTCACTCTCCACGGCCCGTCTCACGCCAAGGGTCACACCACAGCCCTGCCAGCACTCCGCACCCTCCTGCCCCACTGCCCAGCATGAACAGGGAGAGGCCGGCCCTCGCTCGTCCGGCCTCTGACCCCACCCCCCCAGTGGATGCCCCACCTGCTGGCTCTGCTTCCTCATCTTCCCTTCCCAGCCCCCTTCCCCTGGCCGTACCCCCTCGCATGTGGGATCTTAGTTCCCCAACCAGGGATCAACCTGCACCCCCTGCAGTGGAAGCGAGGAGTCCTATAGCCACTGGACCGCCGGGGAAGCCCCTGCTTCCTCCTCTGACTCATCTTCCGAGTCCTGTCATCTGCCTACCCACTCCCTTTGCCATCCCTCTGTCTCGTGTGTCCGGTCATCCACCCCCAGACACAGCCTGCTGTGTGTGCAGCCCTCACGGGGAGTGCGTAGTGTAAGTGGACACGGGCCCGGAGAGCAGGTGCCTACTTGGCAGGGGAGCTTGCCCTTGTGGTGTGGACAGGCCCTGAGGGACAGTGGGCAACTGGTGTCCAGGGGCTCGGTGCTACCTCCCAGGGACTCAGTACTCAGCACTTCAGCTCTGCAGAAGCATAAAGGGCAAGAAGGGAGCTGCCGGGAGGTGAGACTGGGGGTTAGCAGAAGCCAGATCAGAGGGCCTCTCAGCAGCTGGGGAGCCTGGACTTCAGCTGGGGGCAGCAGGGAGCCATGGAAGGGACTGGAGCAGGGAAGGGTGTGCTCAGATCCAGCTGGGGCCACAGAGTTCTCTGCTGTGTGCATTAGTCTTTCTCCAAGGGTGGATTCTCTTGCCTCAGTCAAGCCAGGGGCTTCCTCCCCAGCCACCCTTGCCAGCCCCGCCTCCCTTCCACCCCAGCACAGGGCGGGCATGGGAGGAAGGGGCAGCCAGGGGAGCTCGGGGTCAGGCCAGCGTATGCCCACATGCCAGCTTTAGCAGCCGGGGCTCCAGAGCTGGCTCTGGAAGGGCAGGGGCAGAGTGAGAGGCCGCCTGCTTGGCCCACACCTGGGAGCGCCCTGAGGGGGCTGAGTGGGAGGCCGCTTTCCTTCTCCACTTCAGCACGTGTCCCCGCCAGCTGCCCAAGGGCTGGCCCCGCCCCGGAGACCGACCTCTTCCCTGGGGAGGGAAGGAAGGAAGTCTTTCCAGGATGTTCCTGCCTACCTCCCCAGGGCCCCCACGGCCTCCTGCTCTGCCCCCAGAATCAGAATCCAGTAGCCCTCGGCGGGCTCCCACCCCTGCCTAGGCAGAACCCCCAGGGAGCCAAGGACCCAGCTGGCCACCCTGGGACTCCCCATCCCCAGGTCAGCCCACCCTAGAGACCACAGCCCCTCCCCTCAGGGCAGAGCGGCAGGTCTGGGGTCTTCCTCCTGGCTCAGGGCCCAGGGGTGGATATGCCTTCCCGCACACTCTGTGTGAGTGTGAGAGCCGGGCCGGAGGGACCCAAGAACCCCGGCTCGGGGCCCAGGGGGTGGACTTGCCCTCCCCGCGTAAGCCCTTCACTCTCGAAGAGCCGCCCTCCTCTGTCCCGCCCCAATCCCAGCCCGGCCAGCCTCCCCGCGGCCGGGGCTGGGCAGAACCCTACCCGCGGCCGCCCCAGGCACCCTCCAGGTGAGGGGGCAGGGCCGGCCGGAGGGGCCTCGGCTCGGACCCCGTCCGGGTGGGCGTGGCTCGGAGCGGACTCACCCGCACGCTGGTGGCGGTGCTGGGCGCCGCGCTCGGAGGGGTCGGAGGGACCGGCAGTCCCAGCGCCGGTGGGAACCCGAGTGTGGCTGCGAAGCCGCCCGGCGCTCCTTCCCGACTTCCGTGCGCGACTCTCCCCTCCCTCCTCAGGCCCCTGTGCCGCCCGGCGCCGTCGGGGAGGAGCTAGTGGCCCGCGGGCCAGAAGGCACACCCTCCCCCCAGTCCCCCGGACCTGGGGCACCTTCCTGGGGACGCCGCCGTCGCGCCCGCCCCCGCCCCGAGGCCCGAGGCCTCACCTGCAGAGGGGAGTGTCCCCTCCGCTACGGGGTTAGACTGGCCTCCGGTAGGCGGAGGGGAGCCCTCCCCGATGACCGCAGCTCCCTGCTCGCCTTCACTCTCCCTGACCCCAGGACGCACCTTCCCCAGGCCCTTCCAGAGCACCCAACCTCTGACCCTTTCAAGTCTAGTGTTGATTCCCTTAGAGGAGAAACTGGGGCCCAGAGGACTGAAGATGAGACAAACCCCAGCAAGAAACAATCAGCTCCCTGAGCCCCTGCTCTGTGGACGCCAGCTGGGGGAGGGGGAGCCCTTGGGGTCCTGAGGACAGGTGGCTGGCTGGGCTGGGTGGGGAATGAAGGACTGAGAGGGCAGTTCTACCACATCCTGTGGTCCAGCGGGCAGCAGCTGGAGGAGGCTCTGGGCCACCTGAGAGGGACTGTCCTGCAGGATAGGGAGGTGGGGTATCCAGGCTCTGACAGCTGCTGGGAAGCTGAGGACACAGGGCAGGAGCCAGGAGAGAAGACAGGTGGAGACACTGAGCATTATGGGGGCAGCTGGAGGAGAGCAGGGGGCACCCATAGTGTCACAGGGGGCACCCACGATGTCACGATACAGCATTGTGCAGCCCAGGCAAACCTGCAGTGTAGACCCATGGTTGACATGTTTGCTCTAGGTTCCCCCAGGAGTAACATGGCCCCACCCACATTTCTGTTTGCGGGACCCCATGGCAGGCTGTGACAGCAGCAGGGACTGAACTACGGAGTGGCAAAGACAAGAGAGTGAACTGGCAGCACAGAACCTGTGCAACTCTGATGGAGCAAATCTGGACAAATGCATTGAGGTTGGTGTGATGGAAACCCAAACAGTAGCAGCTTAAACAAGCCTGTTTACTTCTCTCTCCCATAAATGACATCTGGAGGCGGTCCTACCAGACGCCTGGTTATTAACTTGTTGCTCTGTCACCGAAAGCGCGTGGACCCATCACATAGTTCAAAGTGGCTGCTCAAGCTCCAGGCGTCACATCCACATTCCAGACAGCAGGAAGAGCAAAGGATGAAGGAGGGGTATTCCATCCTGCATGTGGTTAGTCACCTGGCCAGTCACCTGGCCACACCTTACTGCAAGGAAGCACGGGAAGTATGATCATTTTTCCTAAGGGAGAAGGTAGATGGACCCTGGGGGCACCCAGCAGCCTCTGCCACAGGTGAGAGGGCCTCAAATGCTGTGTTAGAGCTCAGGAAACAGGGTCAGCAAGAGATTTTGAGCATGAGTAATCCAAACTCAAGATCCCCATTACCAGCCATCTCCTGGACTCTCCATCTCCCCCCAGTCTCCAGCTCAACCTGCTCAGGACAGTCTGCATTTACACTTTCATTCTGTGAAAAGAGTCCACTAGTTCCCCCCAAGTGTCTACACAGCTGCTCCCTTTTTCAATGTCTTTATTTGGCATTCCCAATTTTAATGCCACAGAAACACTGCTTCTTCTCTTTCCCACCTTCCAAGGGTCTGAGGGAACCTAAATTATATCCAGCAGCCTCGCTGCCCAAGAGCCTCTTGCACCTTGGCCCCTTGGGCGAAGGCAGCGTAGCATCTCCAGCCCGGGGGTGGAGCGGCGCGGGAAGAGGAGCCCTGGCCTCGCCCCACAGTGGAAGCTTCCCTACTCTCAGTGAAGGATGGAAAGGGCAGGTCTCATCTAGTCCTATCTGGAGAGGAAATGGGTGCGGCCCTTTCGGAAAGCAGTCCAGCAATAAGAATCTAAAGCCTTAAAAATTGTTTATACTTTGGTCCATTAATTAACTTTTTCTAAACTATCCTAAGAAAAACTCCAAAATATTGAAAATATGTATTACTATGTCCTTTGAGGCAAAAATTATAAACCACCTGGATTATCAATAATAGGGAAATGTCTGAGCCAACACGGTATAGTCATATGCTGATTAAGTAGCCGTTAAAAATGATGCTTTCAGAGTTTATGGCAGCACAGGGAAATGCTTATGTTATACTGTTAAGTGAAGAAAACATAGATTGTAGACATATATACATTTCTTTATCTCAACTAAGTTAAAATGCATTAAAATACCAGGAGAGTAGTTTTTATATTTGATATTCATATTTGCGTGCGGATGGTGGAATTGTGCTTTTCTTCCTACAGTTTGCTTTCTTTGACACACATCACTTTTATAAACTTTATATTATTAAATGCACTTTGTTGTCATATTAAAGTCTATTATCAGGAACTTTGTTCAGACTCAGCCTCACTCTCTACCTTGGCTTTGAGTACATCTCGTGAAGAAGCCGCACCCCTTCAGGCAATGTGGCCTGGCCACCCCGGCTGTCCGCAGGCTGACCCTGCCCTGTTTTGGGCGGAGAACTCCAGTCGAGGTGCACATGGGCCTCCGGCTCCTCCCCTGTGAATCCTGCTGCCAAAGTGCAGCAGGACGCAGGCCCCCCATTCCCGCTGTCTCTAGGGCGCCTCCCCCAGGAAGAGGTCAGAATGACAAGTCTGCCAAGAGTGCCCCAGGCTCATCCTCACCGGGGGAATCTGTCCTCCCAACCCCAGTGGCCTGGATGTGGCCGAAGACCCTCTGGGGTCTTTCTGAGGCTGCTCCTCGGAGGCAGCACAGGCAGGGCGGCTGAGGTTGGGGTCTCCCGAGTCCTCTCCAGGCTGGTCCCAGGCACCCCACCCCCTCTGGCTTCTTTGGCTGACGGAGCCTCTCTTGGGCCATAGACCTCGCTGGCCTCAGGCCCCTGCAGGAGAGACCCCTCCCAGGTTGGGCCTCTGCTCCTCCGGTCTGCGGGGAGCTGGCCCGTGCCTGTCACACCAGGATGGCATTGGGGTGGGGACCCAGGCCCCTGACGTCCTCACCCCAGGAACACTTCTGTCTCCCTGCTCCTCCCCACCAATGCCTCTGGGCCTTAAATTTCAGCAGTTCCTGTTTACTTTCTTTTTTTTTTTTAAATAGTGAATGCCATTTATTTATTTATTCATTTATTTTTATTCGGTTGCACCAGGTCTTAGTTGCGGCAGGCATGCTCCTTAGTTGTGCCTTGCAGGCTCCTTAGTTGAGGTTGACGGGCTCCTTAGTTGCGGCATGCATGTGGGATCTAGTTCCCTGACCAGGGATCCAACCCGGGCCCCCTGCATTGGGAGCGTGGAGTCTTAACCGCTGCGCCACCAGGAAAGTCCCCTGTTTTCTTTCTCAGGGAGCAGAGAGCCGTTCTTGGCTGAGTTTACAGCCCCGTTGTCCCAAATCCTTCCATCAACCCTGAGAAAACTCCCAGGCGGCAGGTGTGCGAGTGGCGGGCAGAGTTCTATGGAACGCTTCACCTTTGCAGGTTTTCCACTCCAGTGGAAAAGGATAGCCATGGTTCTTTTACAAATTTGCAACTTTTTCTCTGCCTTCCTTGCAAGAATGTTTCTGGAAAGCATTTCTGCCAATATTTTCACCATTTACCACCATAAATGTGTCCTGCAGGCCTAAGGAAACCTTGGGATCTGAGACCAGGCCACTCCCGTGTAACCTTTGACCTGGTTCTTTGAGGTGCGGCCTCAGGACACCAGCAATCCCTGAGCAAGGCCAGAATCGGCCACCGTCAAAGACCCTGAATTGCTCCAGTGCACTGGGGCTTCCCACAGTCACCGCCCTGGCTGAGGAAGGTCACGGCCTCTGCACCCTCCCCACATGGGGTCCCAGGGGCAGCCCCACAGGTTCTCAGAACCGCAGCGGGCCATGTCCTCAAAGCTGTTCCGCTAACTCCTCACACCTGTGTCAACCTTAAAACGAAATAACCAGTTATTTCACTAGCAAAATGAGTTTATTTGGGAATGGCAGAGGAACTGCTGTTCAGGAAACACAGACTATGGCCAACCACAGGCAAGACTGGAGAACAAAGGAGAGGAGCTGTTACTTTATTGGGAGGGGCTGCTTTGAACCAGAAGTCCACGGAGAAGAGCTCTGGGTGGTGATGGGTTCTCGTGCTCTGAGTGGTGGTAGCTTCTCTCTGGCTGGCTATTGCTGGGCAAGGAGAGAAACTTCCTTCCTCTGCTGGGTAGTAAAGCAAGCTTCTTCCTGCCCAGGAATGTAAAGTAAGGTACGTGTGTGTGAGAGCTCCCCCTTCAGGGTTTCCCGACTCCATTTTTTTTTTTTTTTTTTGCGGTACGCGGGCCTCTCACTGTTGTGGCCTCTCCCGCTGCGGAGTACAGGCTCCGGACGCGCAGGCTCAGCGGCCATGGCTCACGGGCCCAGCCGCTCCGCGGCATGTGGGATCTTCCCGGACCAGGGCACGAACCCGGGTCCCCTGCACCGGCAGGTGGACTCTCAACCACTGCGCCACCAGGGAAGTCCCCCGACTCCATTTTAAATAAGGTTTCCCTTTGTTAATTTTCACACCTGCCACCTGGCCACCTGGGCCACAAAGTGTGGTGGGCCTTGCAGATGCCCTGCCCCTCCCCCTCTGGCCTGTCTCCAAGTCTCGCAGTGGGAGGGGTGAGGGGGCTGCAAGGTGTCCAGGGTGAAGCATCATGGTTAGGTCAGGGACTAGGCGGAGGTGAGACCCAGACGTCAGGCCCCAGGAGCAAAGCTGCAGGTGCAGGGGTCTCTGCAGAGTGCAGGGCTTCAGGGGAGAGGCACCAGGGGAAGAACAGGCTGGGCCAGTGGGTTACCAACCTTTCTGTGCCTCAGTTTCTCCTCTTTAAGCCAGAGATAAAAATAGAACCTGGGGGTGTAAAGATCACAACAGGTACCATTTGTGAAGCTGTTGGGAACTCTCTGCATTTAGAGTGAACAGTTCAGTAGTTTTTAGTATACTTATAGATACATGCAACCATCACCACAGTCAATTTTAGAATATTTTCATGTCCCTGAAAAGGAGCCCAGTACCCTTGAGCAGTCACTCCACATTCCCTTCCCAGCCTGTGGTGACCACTATTCTGTGTCCATGATTTGCCTATTCTGGCCTATTGACATCTCATATAAGTGGACCATACAGTATATAGTCTTCTTTTTTTTAATTTATTTATTTGTTTGTTTATTTTTGGTTGCGTTGGGTCTTCGTTGCTGCGTGCGGGCTTTCTCTGGTTGTGGCAAGCGGGGGGCTACTTACTCTTCATTGCAGTGCGCGGGCTTCTCATTGCGGTGGCTTCTCTTGTTGCAGAGCACGGGCTGTAGAGCACAGGCTCAGTAGTTGTGGTACACGGGCTTTGTTGCTCCACGGCATGTGGGATCTTCCCGGAGCAGGGCTCGAACCTGTGTCTCCTGCATTGGCAGGCAGATTCTTAGCCCCTGCACCACCAGGGAAGCCCAGTATATAGTCTTTTGTGGCTGACTTCTTTCACTTAGCACAAAGTTTTCAAGCATAATGTACAACCCATGTTGTAGCATGTGTCAAAACTTCATTCCTTTTTACAGTTGAATAATTTTCCATTGTATGGATATACCACATTTTTTTGCTTGCATTCCTCAGTTGGTGGACATTAAGTTGCTTCCCCTTTGGTTATTATGAATTATGCTGCTATGAACATTGTGGAACTAATTAAAGAAACCAGCTAAAGCTGGAGTGGGGACAGGCCTGTAGGGGAAGCTCTCATGCCCTCAATGCATCGTCAATGACCCCCAAACAGTAAGAGATGTCCCCCTACACCTCTGACAGGAAGGCATCTCTATTAACTACCTAGCAGAAAGAAGAAAACTTCTCTCTGCTTCACTCTGATTGCAGCCAATCAGAGACTGCAGTGGCCCAACCTATGGGAAGCCTCCTTACTTTGGACCCCCAGCTCCTCCAGTGGACTCTATCAAAGCCCCTTCCAATCCCCCTTTTCCCTATAAAAGCAAGTTCCCTCTCCTTGTTCTCTGTATTTGCCTGTGGTCCACCATGGTTCACGTATCTCAAATTGCAATTTCTCTGCTATTCCTGAGTAAACTCACTTTTGCTAGTAAAATAACTAGCTATTTATATTATTGAAGTGGACACATGTGGTGTCAGTAGTGGGGTCTGGAGGCAAACCCCAAGGGATGAAATTGACTGAGGCATTGCACCAAGCCCTTTGTGCTTATTGCTTCTGTGAGTCGCCACCAGCTTTTGGTTTGGTGAGTCTCCTCTCGGATTCTGAGCCCTGCTCTTTTTGCGTTTTGAGCTCTCCAACTTTATTCAGGACAGAGGCTTTGTCCTTTCAGCGGTGTGGTTTCATCCTTGGTGAGTACTCAGCTGTTTTCTGGAGTGCACGGTAGCAAGGTTCTCTTTTGGGGACTGAGCTCATTGGGATCTAAGAGTTTTGTTTTATTCCCTTTGGAATCTGGGTTAGGACTCTAGCAACTTTCTTGGGTTTTCAGGAGGACTTAGGGAAATGGGATCCTGGCCATCTAAATGCTCTGAGGGGAGCTCTCCTTTGGGGACTCCAGCTGGTTTCATGTTTAAAATCTAGGGACCGCCCTACATGACTATTTTTTAACTAAGTGGGCCAAAGTAATCCAGAATTACAATGGCCATTATGGGAAACTTTTGATCTCCCCAAACTCGTTTTCCTTAAGATTAAATTGGAGGACTGCAGTTCTAAAATTAAACAAAACGAATGGTATATTTATTTTCATTGGTAATGCAAACAGAAAAAGAACCCCCCCACTACACCTCCGAAAGGAAGGCATCTCTACGGACCACCCAGCCGGAGGAAGGAAACTTCTCTCCTCCCACGGCAGCCCAGCCAATCAGAGACTGCAGTGGCCCAGCCCATGGGAAGCCTCCTTACTTTGGACCCCCAGCTCCTCCAATGGGCTCTGGATATCACAGCCCCTCCCAGCTCCCTTTTTTCCCTATAATAGCACGTTCCCCCGCCTTGTTCTCTGGATTTGCCAGTGGTCCACCATGGTTCAGAGATACTGAGCTGCAATTCCTCTGCTATTCCTGAATAAGCCTGCCTTTGCTGGTGAAATAACTGGCTATTTTATTATTAAAGGTGACAATATCCATGTACAGTTCTGCATGGACATATGTTTTCATTTCTTGAGTATATACGAATTGCTGGGTCACATGGTAACTAACACTGTTTCACCCTTTGAGCAGCACTTTTTTTAAAAAAATTTATTTATTTTTTATTTTTGGCTGCGTTGGGTCTTCGTTGCTGCGCGCAGGCTTTCTCTAGTAGCGGCAAGTGGTGGCTACTCTTCATTGCGGTGAGCAGGATTCTCCTTGTGGTGGCTTCTCGTTGCGGAGCACAAGCTCTAGGCGTGCGGGCTTCAGTAGTTTAGAGCGCAGCCTCAGTAGTTGTGGCACATGGGCTTAGTTGCTCTGCAGCATGTGGGATCTTCCCAGACCAGGGCTTGAACCCGTGTCCCCTGCATTGGCAGGCGGATTCTTAACCACTGTGCCACCAGGCAAGTCCTGCCGGACTTTTTCAAATGGGTCAGAGCTAAATGTTTTTGCAGGGGGCTCTGTCTACATTAATAATTTAATAAATTGAGTCAACCAAGATCAGCATGTCTACTACTTTCTTAAGAACTACTCTCAGGCCATGAAGAGGACTCTACAGGCTGGAGTCTGGAGCTCCCAATGGAGACTGGGGAGAACACGCCTGGGCCCAGGGTGTTGAGAAAGGGGGAGTGCTGGTGGCGCGCCGGCGGGTTAGGCCGTCTGGGGAGGAGGGTCTGGGCGGAGCTCGGGGAAGACTGCGGGGGAGGAGGGTCTGGGGCAGCCCGGGCGCCCCAGCAGTGTGGGGAGACCTCGCTCTTCCCGCAACTTTGCCGCGCTGGTTACCTAGCAACCAGGGGGCATCCTTCCCAGCAAGCACTGCCTCTAACGCACGACATTGGGGACTACGAATCCCAGCATGCCTCGCGCCCAGGCGCTCGGACTACAGGTCCCACAATGCACCGCCCGCCCTTTTCTTGCCGCCCCCCGCCTCTGCTCTCCGGAGACCCTGCGGAGCGAGCGCCGCGACCCCTTCCCGGCGCTCTTCGCGCGGTCTCGCGGTGACTCTGGTGCGTGGGGTCAAGGCGCGGGGCAGAGCTGCTGGGGTCGGGGCGTCATGCGGAGGGGTGAACGCAAGGGCACCGAGGGGCCGCGGCCGGGGTCCCCTGTGCGCGTGGGCAAGGCCTCGCTGGAGGAGCCGCTGGACGGCGCGGCCGCGGGCCGAGCGAGCGGGCCGGCCGCTGGCCGCCGCAGCACCGAGTCAGAGGTCTACGACGACGGCACCAACACCTTCTTCTGGTGAGGGACGGTGGTTCGCTTCAGTGCCGGCTGGGGTCGCGAGGGGCGTGGCCACGTCGTGCGGGTTGGGGATGCCCGCAGGACCCCGGGACCGGCCCCTTGCTGCTGCAGCCCCGACCCGGCCTCCCCGGTGGTCCAGCCCCTCATCTCTGCTCCCTGCCCCCTCTCCTGGGAGGACTTGGCTCCGAAGTCACCTCAGAAAGGCTTTTCCTGCCCTCCGTGTCCGCAGTCCCCCTCTGCCCTCCGTCGTGATCCCTTTCGCTGACGGTGCTGATGCCGTGTGAAATGATCGTCTCCTCCCCCGGCACGTGGCGGTAATATCGACACCTTACTCCGCGCCAGGAGCTGAGCGAACGAGTGTAGAGGAAGGCTCTTCCTCTCTTTAGTGGCTCCTCGCTAGGCCAGCCCTTTGACCCGTGTGCAGCTCGGTCCCGGCCAAGCCTCGGGATCAGGCTGCCCTCTAGTCTACCTTCGCGGGGGTCAGGGAGGGAGGGGCCGCCAGGAGCAGAGTTGGAAGAGTTCATGATGTTGCTTTAGGCCGAGTTGGGCACTTCTGCGTTTGAGGGTCCAGGAAAGCAGTCTTGGACCAACAGGTCCCAGGTGTGGCTCGTGCACCTGATGGCTCAGTGACCTTGGGCTACCCTTCGCCAGTCTGAGCTTCTCTTTCTTTGCTTCTTAGAGGCACAAACCCCATACGCTAGAAAGTGTGCTTCTTGAGAGGAGGGCTGTGGCCGTTCTACGCTGTTCAGTTCACGGCCACCTAAAGTTGTATCCCGTGGTAGGCCCTGGGGACATTTGTGGCTTTGGTGCCAAGAGAGCTCATGGGAGAGACAGACGTGTAGGCAGCAAGGATGCCATGTGTAGGCAGCAAGGATGCCATGTGGAAGCAGCTCCTCAGAGAGCCTGGGACCGCAGAGAAAATGTGATCAGGAAAGGAGGAGAGCCTGACAGAGCCACTGGACAGTCGGCGAGGTGCCACACAGCTGGAAACCTCAGGGGAGGTGCACGTGGGGCCACTGGTGTCTTGCTTGTATCTGACTCGGGAGAGACAGGGAAGCGGATGTGGTGGGGGAGGCATCCCTGCATCTAACGAGGTCGGGATCTTCCCTGTGGGTGTGGGCAGCTACTGCTGGGGGTGGCCACCCAGCCCTGCTCTGGGAAGATACTGTGCTCCAGTGGCCTGGAGCCAGGGGGAGGGGGAGAGGGGTGGGGTGCCCTCCTCGGCGGGGGTGTGGCCCCAGAGCTAGAGACATTCTGTGAGTGGACCAGGCGTCTCCTGCTCTGGGAACAGGGCCCCTTCAGACTTCAGGGCAGAGGGCACCGTCCTCCGACAGCCCGGCTGGTGACCACAGGAGGGAGACTGAGGTTCTGGAGTGGTGCCCAGGCTTGCTTTCCTTTCCCGTTCATTCAGTGCATATTTTGGGGGTGCCAGTTGCTGTTCTAGGGGATACAACAGAGAACTAAACAAGAAACTTAGGTTCTGGCACAAGACTGGAGCCTCAGAAGGCTCAGCATGTTGGCCAAGGGGGTGCTGAGTGGTGCTCACGGAAGCCAGAGGGTAATGAGGGCACGTGCGGGTTTCTTTAGAAGCACAGAGCAGCGGCCCGCGGGTCCCTGCCCATGGGGACACAGAAAGGCCTGCCGTAGCTGCGCTCACTTGTGGGGAGGCCTGATGGAGCCAGGAGGGCGCGCCGCGGGGCTGCCATTTCCGGGTACCGGCCTCCTGGGCGGGTGTCTGCAGCCTCTGCACCGCAGGTGTGTGGGCTGCTGGCGTGTGTGGTTGTTGCTGCGTCCCGGGCCTCTGCCCTCACCTGTGCAGGGGAAGAAGCTTCACGTTTCCTCAAGGCAGGTAACCAGATGCTCACCTGGCGAGAATGACTTATTTTTACTTGTAGGGCCCAGCCACTTACCTTTTTCTGAGTCTCTCATCATTGACTTGCTGTGCTGGGATTTTAAAAACTCTTTATTTTGAGTTTTAGGGAATTTTATTAATGGATGTTACCAAAAAATTAACCTAAAGACTAAAAAGTATGTATTTGTGGAAACGACTGTATGTTCCAAAATGACTTGAAAGAATTCTTGCATGTTCAAAACCTTGGTTTTACAGTTTTCGTTTCCCAAGGAGCTTGGGCTTCTTGGGGGCCATGTATGAGGATTGTGAGTTTCTTTGTCATTACTTGTCAGCCACAGAGTATGGAATTAGGATTCAGTTGTGGAGCCCAAGGCTGGGCTGCCCCAAACTGGACCTCGGGGAAGGGGCAAGATGAATCGCCGTTGGGTCACCACGCTTTGAGTCAGGGACAAGATGGATGGCTGTGACATTTTGGAAATGCTCACTGCATGCTCACATCTTACAGCATTGAGCGTTTGGTGAGCGCGGGCTCTGCTGTCAGCAACACGTCTCACAGTAGCTGTGAGGATTTGTGGGGCAGATCTGAGACGCCCCACGTACCTCAGTCAGTGTGTGTTGGGGTTTGCCAGCTTCGCCCACATCAGGGCAGCATGACTTGCCAGCTGGTGCCTTTTTGGTCCTGCTGGTCAGCAGGCCAGGAAGGTCGGTGGCCCCAGGTGCCTCTCGCAGGCCTGGGACAGGCCTTCTGGTCTTGACGTTACCTGGCCGAGCCGCCGCTGTGCACTCAGTCTCACAGCCACATCTTTGTACCTTCTCTGATTGGTTTGGCAGGCTGCCTCCCTGCCCGCTCGGCATATGAGTATGGTCACCTCTAGACAGGGGCTGACAACTGGGTATTTTCCTCTCACCGTGGCAGGGAGCCTGCTGTCTTCATGCCCTCACCCTGGCCCAGTGGCTGGAGTCACAGGATTTACGGCCGATCTCTCCCTGTGCCTGGATCCCCACGTCATCTGTTAGTCACTCAACCAAACGGTGCATTTGTCTTCCTGGGCACCGGGAACTAGAAGCAAGAGGTCGTTGCCCAGCTCTGGTATCCGAGAGGGACATGGAATCTTCCCTGCTGTCCTGCACCACTGACCTGTTGTTTTTATCACGTCTCTGTGGCCACAGTGAACATGCAGAGCTTTTCCAGCCCCAGCATCCTCGCTTTGCCACATCAAGTCCATCTCAATCCATCTGGCCTCTCCCCTTGGGCTCTGGTGGTCCCCATCACACAGTGTTCGTGAGGACAGTACCTGATCTGCCCAGCCTTCCCATCTCAGCGGCTCCGTCTTCCTTCCTGGCCACCTGGTTTCCTTCTAGTCTCACTTCCCTTCTGCCTGGAGACCTTCCTGGAGTGAGTGATTCTTTTAGAGCAGGTCTGCCGGCACCGGATTCTCTACTTCTTCCTCCATCCACGAATGTTTAGTTCACCTTCGTTTCTCAAGGATGTTTTTGCTGAACATGGGATCCTGGTTTAACATTTCTTTTCTTTTACTGCCCTACAAATTTTGTCCCACTTCCTCTGGCCTCCATGGTTTCTGAGGAGAAATCTGAGCTCAGACTTGGTGTTTGAGCTGAAAAGAAGCCTGGTGAGGAGTCTGTGCTGTGGTGGCTGAAAAGCAGGGACCTTTGGGACCAATTCTCACATCTTGATTTCTGACTTTATTCCTGTTTTTTGCTTTTTTCCTCTGGAAATGCTCACCAGGGTAGGCGTGACTCTGCCTCTTGGGGCAGGCAGTGGGCATTCTGGAGCTCAGGGGACCGGGCCTGCCTGCCGGCCTGCCTGCCAAGGGTGCTGTCCCGTGGCTCCGCCCACGCCCCGCCAGGCACGTCTACACAGGCCTGGAGCTGAACCCCGCCGGCCCTGAGCGGTTCTGCTCAGTCACGCTCGGCCGGCTTGGGCTCCACGTCCTGTCCAGCACGTCAGCTGTACCTTCTGGGCAGATCCAGACCAGCCACTCCCAGCATCTCCTGCCCGCCCTGGAGGGTCGCGAGGCAGCCCCGTCTGCTCTGGGCTCTGCAGCGGCTCTTGCCCCACCGACGTGAGTCCGGGCCTCCCAGGGCAGGACCCCCTCCTCCAGCCATGGTGGCCCCTCAGCCCTTTGCTCTCGCGTTGCTGGCCTGGACCTGCGTCCCCAGGTGTCCTGCGTGAGGCCCTCCCTAATTCTGCACCCCACCCCACCCCGTTTCATTGACTCCACACCCAGCCCTCTGTGTGTCTTGCTGTGTTGGAACGACAGCTCAGGGAGACAGGATTGGGGTTTGTTGGCACCGGGTAGCTACTCTGCGCCGCTTAGTGTCTGTGTCACTTAGGCCACTGGCCCTGGGCCTCATCACCTCACGGCGAGGGTTTATGAGGTGATACAGGTGTGCCAGAGGCATCCTGAGCAGGGCTCAGACCCCAGACCCTCACCACCGAGCTGCGTGACCCTGACACTGCCGTTTATAGCTCTGACCAGCCTCAGGGGCCAAGGTGACGGAGAGGCCCATGACTTACTGTTGTCACCCTCATAATCCAGATGCCCTCGGTCCCTGGTGGGTTCTCAGTGACTCTTGTTCTCCCTGCTAAAATCTGATGTCCCCTCTGGGGTGGGAAGGGTGGGCCATGTCCTAGACCCAGGAGAGGCAGCTGAGTCCCTCTGTGTGTAGGTGTTGGCTAATGTCCAGCAGAGGATCAGTTTCTAGGTCACCACATCCAGAGAACCTTAGGAGTGAAGGTCTAAAGTAGAACCTTATAATGTAGTCTGTGTGCTGTAATTATTCCACAGATCTCTCGGGCACTGAAATGTTTACTATACGGAGTTCAGCTGAAAGGCTGAGATTTTCCTGAAGTTCCTTCATGGCCTAGGACTCAAATGTGAATATATTAACATTGAATTTTATGAAAATAGTTAAAATAGGAGTTTTGTTCACTTCTAATAGTTTTAAATGCCAGTATTGTGAAATATGGCAAAAGAATGTGCTCTCTGCTTTCTTTACTTGGAGCTGACTTATCTGAACATGACTGTTTTTGTTTTCACAAAGAAAATAAAATTTAAGTGAAGGGCGTAACACCTGAATAGATGGAGAGATACTCATTGTCTTGTGGATGGGGAACTCTCATCTAGTTGTGACTCATCGGTTCTTCCAGGGCTAATTTATAAATTCAGTTCAGGGCTTCCCTGGTGGCGCAGTGGTTGAGAGTCCACCTGCCAATGCAGGGGACGCGGGTTCGTGCCCCGGTCTGGGAGGATCCCATGTGCCGCGGAGAGTCTGGGCCCGTGAGCCATGGCCACTGAGCCTGCGCGTCCGGAGCCTGTGCTCCACAGCGGGAGAGGCCACAACAGTTAGAGGCCCATGTACCGCAAAAAAAAAAAAAAAAAAAAAAATCAGTGCAGTTCCAATTAGAATCCTACTAGAATTATTTGTGGCAGCTGTCAGACTGATGTCACAGTTAAGATGGGAGAGGAAATATGCAAGAATAATCAGGATGGAGAAGAGGACTGGTCTGCCGGACGTCGGGATGGGCTCTAACTATGGTCCAGGTCTCTAGCGCCAGCCTAATCTCATGCAGCCCCACTCTTGCTTTTTAGAAAATTACTTGAATCAAGGTACGATTGCTTTCCATGACACACACCCACTTGAGGGTCCGTATCCACACTCCAGCGCCTTACACATGGTGCCCACCACCGGGGTAGGGATGCAGGACATTCCATCATCTTGGAAGCTGCTGCCCTAGCACCTCCCCTGCCAATCTGCCATCCATGCTCTATCGCCACCTCTTGTGAGTCTTGTCGGTGGAAACAGGCAGCAGGTTGCTTTCATGCCTGGCTGTCAGCATGGGGTTAACGTCCACGTACAAGTCTTTGAATGGACATATGCTTTCATTTTTCACAAGTAAACACTTGGAAGGAATGGCTGGCTTGGGTGATAGACTCTGTTTAACTTTGTAAGAAACTGGGAAGCATTTTCAAAGCGGCTGCACCCTTTTGCAGCCCCACCTGGAACGTATGTGTTGGTGGCTCCGCGTCCTCCCGAGGACCCTTCCTCGAAGGCACTCGTGCCGTCCGTGATCCCGTCCCAGGGGCGGGCGCTGCTGACTGCCATGCTGCATGTCTGCTGCCACGACGACCAGGGATGCTGCACATCTTTTCCTGTGGTATTGGCCATTTGTTGATCTTTTTCTTTGACGTGTGTGTTCAGTCTTTCGTTCGTGTTTCGGGAGATCGTCTTTATCGTTGAGCTGTAAGAGCTCTTTGTGTGTTCTGGGTACAAAGGCCTTTGTCGGGTGTACGTGTCATCAGTGTTTTCTCCCGGCTGGTGGCTGGCTTTTTCGTTTCTTCACTGCGTGTTTCACGGAGTTTCGACAGGAGGCCAGTACTGGGCTCGATGCTTTTCGTGTGTTTGTTCACTCGTCTTCAGGGTGCCCTTCAAGGCTGGAGGTGCCCTCGTTTAGAAATGCAGGGCTGCATCGTCTCTCCACGGACACGGAAGCTGGGCCTCTGCCCCCTCTGCAGTCAGTTGTTCAGCGCAGAGGGGCCCCGGCGGGTATGTGGCTGGGCGGCGTGCGGTCGGGTGCTGGACTTGTCGTGGGCCCTGGTTCCAGGAGAGGCCTCCCACTGCCTGCCGAGCGCCGCCCCTTTCCCACATCGGGGCTCTGGAGGCCCAGCCAGGGTGGGCAGGCGGAAGCGGGGAGCCCATGTCTCAACCCCACCGGGCAGCCATCTCTCTGCCCGGTCTTCTGGGCCGGCGGCCGTGGCCGGCCCACGCCCTTCTTGCTCCGGCCCTGGGGCCTCTCTCTGCCGCCAGTGCTCCGCTGTCATCCCGGCGAATCTCTCAGCCATGGTCACTTCATGAATCACGAGGTTGGTCTCGGGGCGATCTTGCTCGGTGCCCGGAGCCCACTTAACCGGCCGCCTGGTCCCTCTGTAGCAGAGCCACCTGCCCGGGACGCCTCGAGCCAACGTGCCGTCTGCTCTCCCTGCCCGAACGGGCCGCCGCGCCGGCACAGCACCGTCTGGGAGTCACGCAGCCGTAGCTGGCGCTCGGGGGATTTTGAGCTGGAGGTCGAGGGCCAAGCTCGCTCCTCTGGCGGCCCGTCGCGCCGCGGTCCCACGCGTGCTTTCCGTGCACCGACGCGGGCTGTTTGCGTTGCAGGCGGGCCCACACCCTGAGCGTGCTCTTCATCCTCACCTGCGTGCTGGGCTACGTGACACTGCTGGAAGAGACACCGCGGGACACGGCGTACAACACCAAGAGGTACCGGCCCGGCCCAGCCTCGCTCCACGCGGCTGGCGGGGTCTCTGGGTGCTGTGTGGCACTTTCAGCCCCTCTTCTGCCCGTCCCCATCCTGGGATCGACAGCACGGCTCCCGTGGGACCCCCTGCTCATGCTGCATTTGCGCGCGAGAAACCAGAAGGTGCTGTGGCGGCTCCAGGGAGGGGTCTAAAGGGGTTCAGGTCAGTTCCGATGGGGCGGCTTCCCCACACATCCCACCCTCAGTACCCCAGGCCCCACCTGAGTGTGCCGCAGGTCAGCTCAGTTCTGACACCATCCCAGGCAGTGCCAGGCCCCACGGTCCCGGGCTCGGTCCGGCCAGACTTCATTCCCTCCCCACTTAGACCCCAGTCGCAAGAGCGGTCATCACCTGACGGGCTGTAAACCATAGGTTCCCACCGCCTCCTCCTTGGGTGCAATTAATTTGCTAGGGCGGCTCACAGAACTCAGAGAAGCATTTTACTTATTAATTATCAAAGGTTTTTTCATAGAAAGATGGAGGAACAGCTAGATGGGAGAGATGTGTAGGGCAAGGTGTGGGGATGGGACGCAGAGCGTCCACGCGGTCACCAGCCTGGGGGCTCTGAACCCCCGTGCTGCTGGGGTTTAGGGAGGCCCTCCTCACATGGCGTGATTGATTAAATCACTGGCCACTGGCGATTGACTTAATCTTTACCCCTTCCCAGGGGTCTGGGGGTAGGACGGAGAGTTCCAGACCAGCCCTCCAGTCGTCTGCTTGGCCCCCTGGCAACCAGCTCCCATCCGGAGGTGGGGTCCAAAAGCCACCTCGTTAACATAACAAAAGATACCTTTGTAGCCCTCAGCGCTTGGGCAATACCAGGGGTTTTAGGAGCTCTGGCCTGAAACAGATGAAGACCAAATACGTATTTCTTGCTATAAATCACAATATCACAGTGACCGTGAATTTGAGTGTCTGGGCTTTTTGTGAGGCCAGGGGTGGTTCCCATCAGCTAGCACCATTCTTCTACACTCTGTTGACTAGAAGACTTTTTGAAAGTTTTAAACTGGCTTTAGGAGTCTGGTGGTCCATCTCCTCCTGCAGGGCAGGAAGTGGGTAGACTGTCTTTCCAGCATTATCTCCAGAAATAGACCAGCTGGTAGGTTTGTGTCCTTTGTCTGAATCCCATGGATTCTGGAGCCAGTCTCAGAAGTGCGTGGGGAAGACTAGCTGGTTTCAGAACTCGTTTCTGTGCATTTTCTACGCTGGACGGACTCACCTCTCCCTCTCTGGTGCCATGAAGCCCCTGTTGCTGTTCTGATCCTGGGGCCCAGGCTCCACCTGCTGTGGTGGGACAGCAAGAGGAGGCCAGGCAGGGACAGAGGTGGAGGGCGGCATCCGGAGCCCAGAGGTGGCAGGAGACCGTTGGTCAGCTTTGGGTGGTGGGCTGGGCTCGTACACCTTCACCCTTGGGGTCCAACCCTCCGCCTGGACTGTGGTGTAGACGCCTGGGTCCAGGACACCAGGAGGTGTGCGTTACCCTCCCCTGTAAGGCGCAGGCCTCCCGCCCGGGCTGCCCAGCCCTCCTCAGCCCTGTGTGATCACACCGCAGGCCTGGCAGCAGGGGTCGCGGAGCCCAGAGCAGAGGAGGGAGCTGGGCTCCTCTTTGGGCCCCTCTGGGTGGGTCTCTGAGGGGGACGCTGGGCCTGTGGACCTGGAGACGGAGCCCCACGTCTGCCTCAAGGGGGTTTCCAGCTGGAACCTGGCCTTTCCTGTGCATTTGTTTGCCAGCACGTGGTTATGGAGGGTTTGCAGCGTCTGCTGGGCACAGCCAGGCAGGGAGGATCAAAAAGGTAGAGCTTGGTCACACTGAAGAGGTGTCCCCACGTGGCTATGAAGTTGGGCTAGAGATGAGCAGTTGTGACGTCACAGGGCAAGACCAGTCACAAGGACGAGCGGGCCCCCCCCACAGCAAGAGTGGGCCCAGCAGCATGTCCCGGGATGCCTCCCGAGGCAGGGGCCCAGGCGAGTCACAAAGCCTTGCTGCCCTGGGCCCTGTCCTGCGCCCAGGGGCCCAGGGGCTCAGACCCCCAACGTCGAGGGGGCTTGTTGGCCTCGTCCGGGACAGCAGCTGTGGACCCAGGTGGGTGCTTCCCCACCTCTTCCTGCACTGGCCTTTCTCCTGAGCTGTTTCTGCCCAAGAGAGGTTGGCACAGTGAGCCCAGAAGGTGCCACCAAGAGGGACACCTGGGTCCTCTCCCTGGGGTCCCCTGTGTGATTTCATTGAAGGCGGGGCCGGGGGAAGGCAGGTGGGTGGGAATTCGAGGGCCCCAGGCACTGCTCTGCCCTGAAGTTCTGTGCTCTGGGGACACAGGACATCGTAGCCACCGTCTCTGGCCCTCTCGGCCCACTGCAGGGGCACAGAGGAGCTGCCCTCCTGGCCCTGTACGGCTGCTGGTGGTGCCTGGAGCCCCGCCCTCACCTGTCCGAGGCTCTGCGGCTTCCTCCAGGGACCGTCACATACGCGTGGGGGTTCATTTCTGCTGAGCCCGCTCTCACCCCCGTGGACCCCAGAGGGGCGCACAGCCTGCCCCCCACGTCAGCACGTCTGCCTGGGCTGTGATGAGCTCCCCCGGTCTCGGGAGGCTGCTGGGGCTGCTGGTTTTTATTATGTCAGAGGTTTTGATGCTCTCAGGGGAAGGTTTTGTATATGTAAAATACTTCCCAAAGGTTATGGCTTTATTTTTAATTTAATATTTACGTTGTTAAAAATCTAGGAAATTGGTTCGTTTCCCTTAAGCTTTCAATTTCACCTTGTGTGTCATTGTGGATCTAACAAGTTCTGTCACTTTAAGGGAGTAGATTTTTCTTCCTAGGCCAACTTTATTGTTGTGTCATTTAATATAACATGCACGTAATTAAAACGTATGGCTTATCTACGTGCCACAACTAGGTGGAGGTACACGCTGAGTTTCCTCTGAGGGCCGCGGTCAGTGTGCACTGCTGGCCACAGGCTACCACCGATCTGTCCCCACAGGCCCTTCTTGCCTGTTGTACAGTGTCATCCAGCATGCTCCCTTGTGTCTGGCCCCTCCCACTCGGCATGATGGTTTTGTGACACCCACGTTGCCGTGTCTGTCAGCGGCCATCCTGGTCCATTGCCAAGGGGTGGTCCACCGTGTGGACACGCCACAGTTCCTTGATCCATTATCTGTTGGTGACATTGGGATGTTTACATATATATACACATATGCATGTGTAAATGTGTAAATAAATCAATACATGTACAATATAAACATATTTTGCATATTTGTAATGTGTAGAAATATAATGTATTCACAGTACTGAAGCACAGAGGCAGAGGCCTGACCGTAAAGCTGTGCAGTGGTGGTCAGGACAGTGGTGCTGGCAGAGGCTGGACAAGTAGAGAGCCCAGAAGTAGCCCCACGCAAAGAGGAGCAAAGGCAAGTCAGTGGAGAAAGGAGAATTTTCAACAAAATAATCTAGATACAGACCTTACACTTTTCACAATAATGAATTCGAAATGGATTATAGACCTAAATAGAAAATAGAAAACTATAAAACTTCTTGAAGAAAACGTGGGAGAAAATCTGGTGACCTTGAGTTTGATGATGCCTTTTTTTTTTGGCCTCGCCGTGAGGCATGTGGGATCTTAGTTCCCTGACCAGGGATCAAACCCGCGCTCCCTGCAGTGGAAGTGTGGAGCCTCAACCACTGGACCTAACCACTGGACCGCCAGGGAAGGCCCAATGACTTTTTAGATAGAACACCTAAAGCATGATCCGCAGAAGAAAAAACTGATAAGTCGGACTTGATTAAAATTAAAAACTTCTGCTCTGCAAAACATAACAAAGAAAAGACAAGCCACAGGCTGGTGGGAAACGTTTGCCAAATACGCGTCTGATGAAGTATGTGTGTTCACTGTGCAGAGAGCTCTTGAAGCTCAGCGGGAGGAAAACCAGCAGCACAGTTCCAAGCCGGGCAGAAGGTCTGGACGGACACCAAAGAGGACACAAGTGCGTGAAAGGATGCGCTCAGCACCATGCATCAGCTTGGAGATGCCACTACACACCTGCTCGAGTGGCCAGGATTGAAAACACGGCAACACTGGGCGCTGGCGAGGACCTGAGCAACAGGAACTCTCATTCATCACCGGCAGGAACATGAATGGGGCAGCCGCTTTGGAAGACGGTTGGAGACTCTCTCAGAGAACTAAACATAATCCAGCAGCTGTGCGCCTTGGTATTTACCCAGAGGAGCTGAAAACTTAAGTCCACACCCAAACATGGACATTTGTAGCGGCTTTGTTCACAATCACCAAAACTTGGAAGCCACCAAAATGTCCTTAGTGGGTGAATGGGTAAACAAACTGGTACCTTCATGCAATGGAATATCATTAAGTAATAAACAGAAATGAGCTATCAAGCCATGGAGACAGAGACGAAGCTTAAATGCATATTGTTGAGGGAAAGAAGCCAGCCTGAAAAGGCTACATACTGTATGAGTCCAACGCTGTGACATTCTGGAAAAGGCAAAAACTATGTGATGGTAGAAAGATCAGTGGTTTCCGGGGCAGGGGGAGAATGAATAGATGGAGTGTGAGATTTTTTTAGGCTCTTGAAACTGTTCTGTTGATATTGTAATGGTGAATGCAGGACGCTGTGTGTTTGCCAAAACCCATAGGGCTGAACAACACAAAGAGTAAACCTAAGTATGCAAATTTTAAAAATCGTTTAGGGGCTTCCCTGGTGGTGCAGTGGTTAAGAATCCTCCTGCCAATGCAGGGGACACGGGTTTGAGCCCTGGTCCGGGAAGATCCCACATGCCACGGAGCAACTAAGCCCGTGCGCCACAACTTCTGAGCCTGCGCTCTAGAGCCCGCGAGCCACAACTACTGAAGCCCGCGCGCCTAGAACTCGTGCCCTGCAGCAAGAGAAGCCACTGCAATGAGAAGCCCACGCACCACGATGAAGAGTAGCTCCCACTCGCCGCAACTAGAGAAAGCGTTCGTGCAGCAACGAAGACCCAACGCAGCCAAAAATAAATAAATTAAAAAAAAAAAAAAGTCATTTAAGAGGTGGAGGACCCCAGGAAGGAATGCAGACTGTGACAGGAGAACCTACAAAAGGTGCTGACCTGAGTCACTTTGGAAACGAGTGGGGTCTGTAGGCCTGAAGGCAAGGGATGTGCACACAGCACTGGGCTCTAGTGGTGAAGTTGTTTCCCGTGGGGCATGGGTCAACAGCTGTGTCCCTGCTGTACACGTGCGCTGGGATTGAACAGGAAAGTACACGGATGGTGGGGGCCAGGATTCTCACCCCGGAGGAGTGGGAGGTTACAGGCGACCAAGGGGAGAATGATCCGTGGATAACAGATGCTGATTGGAGACTTCAGTGAGAACTCACGTTCGTTTAATGTAGAGACAGGTGGTTACACACAGGAATATTTGTAACGTGTGTGTATGCAAGGTTGGCACACACGTATCTTGTTGCTCTGTCAGCCAAGAGGGCCCAGAGGCAAGGAGTACACGGGCCCCCAGATCTTGGTTCCTAAGAGCATTCGTTCTCCAGCAAAGGAACCAGGCTCCCTGGACAAATGGCCGATTCCAGGGCTGGGACAGGGAACCCCCAAGATGGGCCTGGAGCGTCTTCTAGCACCAGAAAGGAGGGAGGTGCTCAGAAACAAGAATACAAACCTCCACAAACATGGGGCGTGTCAAAGCAGTACAGGAGCCAAATGAAAGCTCCTTGTGGCCAAAGCTGGAACAGTTTGAGCACCGATATCAATCAAGTATTGAATTATAACCCAGCGTGTAACGTAGGCACCCACAAATCTGGGCTGATGTAAGAAATGACCGAACACATTAGTGAATTGGGGAGCAGAGACAAACCTCCTGCACAGAAGGTTTCCCATCAGGTTGCGGAGCTCCTCCCTGCCAGCTGTGCGGGGGGGGGGGGCCTTCCTCCCGAAGGCGAGGTGTGGAGGGGACCCGACAGACATACCTCTGCCAGGGGGTCAGGGTCGGCACCAACAATCAGAATCGTGTCGATGGTGTATACCCTTGATATGATGTGAAGATGGTCCTTAACATCTGTGATCTCACTTCCAAAAATCCTACAGCCCTGATCTAATCATAAACAGCCCTGATCTAATAAAAAAGACAGCCTTCATTAAGGGGCATTCCACAAAATACCTGGCCGGTGTTCCTCAAAACTGTCCAGGTCATCAGAACAGTGCCAGTCTGAGAACCTGTCACAGGCCAGAGGAGCCTAAGGAGACTTGAGGACTGTCATGTGGGGCCCTGGATGGGGTCCTGGAATAGGAAAAGGACTTTAGGTAGAAAGTAAAGAAATCTGAAAGAAAAAACTGTGGACTTCAGTTACTGGATCAGTGTTGGTTCACTGACTGTGACAGCTGTCCCACGCTCACGGAGTGTGGGAAATTCTGTACTGTCTTTGTAACTTTTCTGTTCTAAAATTAAAAGATTATTTTAAAGTGTAATTTATTTGCTTTCCTCTAAAAGTCCTTCTGGGCGACAGATTTTCCCACATCATCCCTTTGGGGCAGGAGGGTGTCTAGCGGCCCTTTCACCAGACCCTGGAAGGGTGACCGTTGCCCCCAGGGCAGCCTCACCTGCACCCCACCCCACTGCTGAGTGCCAGGGACAGGGCTTTGCATCCTCAGACCTGCTTCTGGGGACGGCGGCCTCGGGCGTCCCGTGAGAAGTGCGTCCGTGCACGGCGGCTTCACGTGCAGTCACCCAGGCCTGCGAACGCAAGACTGTGAACCCTTGTGGCATGACAGTCCCCCACGGGCGGGGTGAGCTGGGCCCGCCTTGCTCCTCTGTCGTGGGCAGGGGTGCCGTGTGTGTCTGCGTGGCTTTCACTCTGTCTCCTGGTGGGTTCCTGCTGGGACTGGATACGGCGGCCCCACAGGACGAAAGAGCTACTAGCGGGGCCCCAGCCTTGTTGGAGTGGGAGGCCATTTGATCCTAATAATACCTTTCCATCTTAGGGCTTTAGTGAGCTCTGGATCATCCTGTATGGAATTTTAGGGGCTTTTTGTTTGTGTGTTTTTAATGTGCCACACGTCTTAGTGACGTGGCTCTTGACGGTACACATGACACAGCCCAGTGGCAGGGCCTTCTCCCCGGGTTGGTGCTGCCTCTGGGGCCAGGGCGGCAGTGCTGGGCCGCTAGCCTCTCTGCGGCCGAGCCTCGGCTCTGCCCTAACCGGGGGTCAGGGGCCATCCCCGTGGTGGGCGCCCGGGGGTCCCTCCCACCTCCCGCCAGGGAGGAGCCGACCCGGAGCTTGGCGCTTCCGCACACTGAGGGCTGTTTGTTCTTTATTTGCAGAGGTATTGTGGCCAGTATTTTGGTTTTCTTATGTTTTGGAGTCACACAAGCTAAAGACGGGCCATTTTCCAGACCTCATCCAGGTAACTTGCCGTTTCTTTCTCCGTGTGTGCCCGTGTGGCTGTGCTGTTCTGAGGGTCACTCTGTGTCTGTGCTGCTGCGTGTGGGTGTCCCGTCCCCCCTGGGGCCCCTCCCGGCTGGCCGGCTTCACCGCCACCTCGAAGCCCCTCCTCTTTGGGCGCTAGCCCCCGGGGACCCGCCCCCGCTCCTCCCCCGTCCCTGCCCTCTCTGTGCTAGTCAGAGGGGGCTCCCTCCGGGCGGAGGCGCCCGGGGCCGTCCAGTGCTCTTGGCGTGGCCTCGAGCTGGTGGTTGTGCCCCCCCCCCGCTGTTGGGAGGCTCACAGGGCGCCATCCGCAGCCACCCCCCCACCCCGGAGTCGTGGGGCCTTCTGGCAACCCCTGGGACATCCCCTCACAGCTGGAGGGGCTCCAGCCTGTCCGGGCTCCAGCCTCTCCGAGGGGCTGGCTCCGGGGCAGGGGTGGTGAGTTTTCCTGAAGGGTCTCAATTTAGTAACGAGTTTCTATCTCATTAAGGGTGTGTATTTATCGTAGAAAATTTGGAAAATACATAAAGTATTTTTAAATAAAGTATTTTTAAATATTTAAAATAAGGAAAATAACCACCGTTAAGATTTAATGAGTGTGTATGCGTGTATACGTACACAGGTGTAAAAACAAGAAGTTGGCATCATACCGTATGTGTGGTTTTGTATCATGCAGTATTCACCTCAGGCTTAACACATGCATATCCTTGTTAATTTTTCATTTGAGAACTGGATTTTTGATGGCTCCTTGTTTATCATCATTTGTTGTCATCATTTGAATGTACTACAGTTTACTTAACCAGTCCTGTATGATTGTATACTTGGGGGTTTCCAATTTCGTGGCAATAAACCAGGCTGTAGTGAATTTCCACATGTACACTTTTGTGTACCTGTCTGATTATCCATGGGACCAAAGGTCCAGGGGGCGTAGCAGATGAAGGGCATGAGCATTTGGGGCTCCTGATGGGTGCTACCCAGTTGCCCCCTAGAAGGGGCGTATCTGCTCAGGGGCCAGCGAGCCGGGGGTTGTGAGCGAGGCCCCCGGAGGCTCTGCCCCTTCAATGCCTGGTGGGGACGTTGGTGCTGGGTGAAGCCTGTATGGTCCCTGCCCCCGGAGCAGCGTGAGCTTCCTGAGCCGAAGGGCACGGCCCCCACTGGGGGTTGGAGAGGGGCTGCAGGACCTTCTCCACCGTCTCCACTGGTGTGGGCCCGTCCAGTCTTGCCTCAGAAGGGCGTGGACTCTTAACCAGAGCAACGGAAAAGTGAGCTGAAGTGTCAGAACCACCAGAGTCACAGTGAGAAACCAGGTGTGTTCAGTGCTCGTCCGACAGACTTGGAAGGGAGAACAGGAGCCGCCAGAAGCTCCCCAGAGGCTGTCGGTGGGTGGGGGCGCAGCGAAGTTCTCGTGGGCACCCGGCACTGGACGAGCCGCGAGCAGGACAGACAGGGCCCTGCCCGCATCATCCCGGGGCTTCAGCTTCAGGAAAGCTCCATCTGCGGCTCTGAGCGGTGTGAGTGTCAGGCCGGCTGCCCCTCTGGAGCGGGCAGTGCCGCAGTTTCCGAGCTGACGTTCTGAGCGTGGCTCTGCCTTTCCTGAATTTGGTTGCTGTGCGCACACCCTGTTTCTCTGCCAGTCTCGGCTTAGTTCACGGGGGGACCTGCCCCAGAGCACCGTCCAGGTGGCTTGTTCACCTGGTAGTTGGCAGGAGGTCCTCAGCCTCTCAAATCAGGTTACGTGTGCACACTGGCAGGAACGGACTCCACAAAGGAGGCGCCCTGGGGTCTCTGCGTGCCTCCCGCCCTCCTCTGGGCCCGGCTCAGGTAGCCACTGGGGGAGCAGACAACCGACCTGTGTGGGGCGTTGCTTTATTTGGAAACGAGTTGGCTGCAGCTCCAGCTGGGGCTGCCACTAAAGAGGCCCCCTTGCCCTCGTGAGCGGCTCCCTGCAGAAGCTGGAGTAGACGAGGACGTTGCAGGTGCTGCTGAGGTGGCCGGAGTTGCTGCTCGGGAAGAAGATACGAGTGCGGGTCTGGGAGCAGGGCAGCCCGTGATCAGGAGCCTCCGGGGTGGCTGGCGGAGAGCCGTGTGGGGACCCTGGCCGTGGGGAGGGGCGAGGACCCGCTGGCCACTTGGGGGGGGCAGGCCTGGGTCCTGGTGGGCTCTACGGGGTGCTAGTGGTGGGGAGCCTGAGCAGAGTGGGGGTGGCCGGGGCAGGGACAGCGCAGCCTTCATGGGAGGAGGTGGCCATCCCCGCAGCTGGGCAGCCACACTCGGCCGCCCCAAGTCCCTGCTCCACAGCCCTCGACCTGCTGCTGCAGCCTCGAACCAGGGAGAATTTTCCAGGTTTTTCCTGTCTTCAAGGGCACGAAGAATAAGCCTGTCACCTCGGCTGTTTACGTCCGTTGTCTCGGAACACGTTAGCCCACCTTCCCAAGAACTCAGCCACGTTTGTATTTCCTGCCCGTGTGAGGCTGGATTCTCGTCAGTGTCCGGGGCGGTTTTTCCCCCGGCAAGCGGGTTAGGCCCAAGGCCTGAGGGTGCCGGGCTGGCCCCGGAGCCTGGCGTGTGTGCAGTTCTCACCCTCTTCTGGCACAACAGGCCCCGCACCCCTGCCACTCACCTGCCCGGCTGCCTGTACCCTGGGTCCCCGCTGAAGCGGGGGCGGGAGAGCACGTGGTGCTGTCACAGATGACCTGGAATAGCTGTGGAATAGCCGTGGCCAAACCCTGTGTCTCCAGTTTGTGAGCACGGCTTATTTTTTTAATTCAAGGTGAATTAGCTTTTAAAAGTAGGCTGGTGGTTTATTTTTTCTTTACAGACATAAGCATAGGGTAAGCAGATATCTTATTATTTATTTATTTTATTATTTATTTATTTGTTTTTTAGCTGCGTTGGGTCTTCGTTGCTGCGCACGGGCTTTCTCTAGTTGCGGCGAGCGGGGGCTACTCTTCGTTGCGGCGCGCGGGCTTCTCGTTGCGGAGCATGGGCTCTAGGCGCGCAGGCTTCAGTAGTTGTGGTCCGCGGGCTTCAGTAGTTGCAGCACGTGGGCTCAGTATTTGTGGCACGTGGGCTCTGGGGCAGGCGGGCTTCAGTAGTTGTGGCTCGCGGGCTCTAGAGCGCAGCCTCAGTAGCTGTGGCGCACGGGCTTAGTTGCTCTGCGGCATGTGGTATCTTCCCGGACCAGGGATCGAACCCATGTCCCCTGCATTGGCAGGCAGATTCTTTACCACTGCGCCACCAGGGAAGTCCCCTTAGGCATTTATTAAACAGGATTCTGAAGATTCTTGGAAGATAGAAGTTACCGTTGGCTTTTAGGACAGTTCTAGACCTTCCCCTTCCTGTTATCTCATCCCCCAGGGACTTGAGAGTATGGAAAGCAGATGGTGAGAGAGAGGAGTCCCGGCCAGTGAAAGGGGTTCTGAGGGACACGTTCGTTCTTTTTTCCAGCTTTATTGAGATAGGATTGACACGTAACATAAGTTTAAGGTGTACCGTGTGATGATTTGATACATGTGTATTGCATACTCCAGTATGGTTAGTCAACCCCTCTGTCATCTCATGTAATCTCAACTTTTTGTGTGTGTGTGTGTGTGTGTGTGTGGTGAGAACATCTAAGATCAACTCTCTCAGCAACTTTAAAGTATATAATATAGAACCGCCAAGTGTAGTCACCGGAGGGACAGAAGTGCTGATTGAAACTTAGGACAGTTTCCTAAAACAAGTCGTCATCCCAGGAATTCAGAGATGGTTTAATTTGGGAAATGTGTTAATTTCATTCATCACATTAACACTGAAGAAACAAATTGATCCTCGTAAATGCAGAAGAATAAAGTTTTGTACTCGTTCATGATAGAAACACAACATACTGGAATGAAAAGGTTCTCTTAGCGTGACGAAAGGTATCCACCAAAACCCTGCAAACTTACTTAATGATGGAGGTTAGAAGCATCCCTAGGAAACACAAGACAAGGATGTTTGCTGTCACTGCTCGAATCTGGTGGTTTGCGGGCCTTCTATGCTGCGGGAAAGATTAGGGACGGGAATGGAAGAGAAGGAAGGAAGAACAGTCAGAGAGAAACTGTGCTCAGCCCTGAGTTAGAGCTTGCTTCTGAAGTCTCTCCCAGGGACCTGAGGGCCCCGAGCAGAGGCCTCGTGCGGGAGCTGTGTGGGGCGGGGCCGCGGGCCGCAGGGCGGCGCCCCCTGATGCCGCTGTGTTCTCCGTGTCTGTACAGCCTACTGGAGGTTTTGGCTCTGCGTCAGTGTGGTCTACGAGCTGGTGCTCATCTTTATACTCTTCCAGGTAAGCGGGTCTCTTGGTTGGGTGAACTGTGAAAGTGGAGGTGGCACAGAACGCTCTGCGTATCGGCCCCCAGGGCTCTGGTAGGAGGCTGGACCCCACCCGAAGGGGGCAGGGGCTGTAGGGGTGGGAAGGCGCCAGCCATCGCCTGCGGCAGGGTCTCCGTTCTCAGCGGGCCTGGACCTCTGGGCGCAGCTGCCGCGTGGCCGGGGGACGATGGGTTCAGACGTGGACGCCTGGCGGGCGCTCCAGATCTGAGCAGGGCTGAGCCCCTCGCAGGGGGCCTCGCTTCTGGTTTTGCGGGTGACCGGCTGTGGCTTCATGTGCTTTTCTCCCTCTGTCACACGTTCTGCAAGGGGGTTGGGGTGGAGGTTGGAAGCTTAGCTCCTCCGTAAACCTTGGATCAGGATTTGTTGCCGCTAACATCTGTCTGACTAACGCTCCTGTTCTGCTGGACTTACCGAGCTCGCCTTTGAGGGCGGTCTTCGGTATTCACAATCTCAGAACAGTCAGCGATAGCTGAGTGATTGATCATCGCCTGGGAAGGTTTGCATTTCGGGTAGGCGTGCAGGGCTGGGAGCTGTAACACCTGTTTGTGTTTGTGTGGACACCACAGTTAGGCACAGAGCCCCAGGCCCCCTCGGGTGCCACCTCCGTGGCCCTGGCCTCGCACTGGCCTCGCAGCCGCCATCTGTCCCTGCGTCACCGCCATTTGTCTTGTAGAAAGTCTTGTGTGAGTGGAGTTGTGCAGAGCGTGGCCTTCACTGCCTCTGAAACTCAACCAAGCCGTGCGCACCTACAGCCGGTCCTCTTTGTCGTGGATGGGGTTCCTGGTGGAGGGACCGCCATCTGTCCATTCACTGGGGTTGTGTCTGGTTTGGGGCAGATGTGCGTGGAGCTGCTCTGAGCCTCAGGTACAGGCTCTTGTGTGGACCTGAGCTTTCATTTCTTGAGGGTGAACACTCTGGAGGGACTCCTGCGTCATAGGTTAGGTGTCTCACTCCCAGGGCAGCTGTGTCGCGCCAGCACCCTCTCTCATCCTTGGCAGTACTTGCCATCACCAGGATCTTGTATTTTAGCCGGTGTCTCATGGATTTCATTGCATTTCTAGAGTGGCTGACGATGTTGACCAACCTCTCCTGCATATATGAGCCATGAAACAAACATCCTCCTCGGTGAAGTGTTTATTTTTTGCCCTTTTAAAAAATCGGGTGGTTTGTTTTTGTAGTGTTGAGTTATGACAGCTTTTTATATAGTCCTGGTTACAAGGTCCTTTGCTGGATGTGCTGGGCCTTCGTTCTTTAGCAGTGGCGGTCCTTATGTCTTTTCTTTTTGTGTTTTTGATGTCATATCTAAGACTGCTTTGTCCAACACCAATTTATTAAGATTTTCTCCTATACTTCCTTTTAAAACCTACCTGCTTTTATATTTTACACTGAGATTGCTTATTCATGTTGAGTTTCTTTTTACGTTTTGTTTTGGAACGATTGTAGATTCACAGGAAGTTGTGAACAAATTGTACAGGTAGGTCCTGTGTTCCTTCACCCAGGTCCTCAATATTTTGCACAAATGTAGGACAGTATGTGTACCTGAAACTAGCATAATATTGTAAGTCAACTATACTTTAATTTAAAAATATATATATATATAAAAGACAGTATCAAACCAGGAAATTGATATCAATGCACTCCACAGAGTTTGTCACAGTTCAGTTTTACATGCATGTGTGCACGCACACATGTGTGTGTAGAATACTGTGCAATTTTTTTGGTTTTATTGCAGTGTATTTAATTAAAAGTATTTTTTAACTACAGTAAAAAACATAACATAAAATTTACCGTCTCAGCCATCTCTAGGCGCACAGGGCGGGGCACGAAGCACATTCACATGGTCGTGTTACCTTCCCCACCTTCATCCCCAGAACGTTCCGTCTTCCCGAAGGGACGCTCTGTCCCCATGAACGCTCACTCCCCTCCCCTCCCCCAGCCCTGGGCCCCACCGTCTACTTTTCTGTCTCTGTGGATGTGACTCCTCCAGGGACCCCTAGGGAGTGGAATCAGACAGGATTAGTCCTTCTGTGACTGGATTATTTCACTGAGTGTGATGTCCTCAAGGTTCACCCTGTGTAGCCTGTGTCACAAGTTCCTTCCTTTTTAAGGCTGAGTAATGTTCCATTGTGTGTTTAAACCACATTTTGTGTATCCACTCAAATGGATGGACACTTGGGTTGCCTCCACCTTTTGGTGACTGTGAACGTGGGTGTGCGAGTATCTGTTCCAGTCCCTGCTTTCCATTCCTTTGAGGACATGCCTACAAGTGAGGTTGCTGAGTAACTCTGTTTAACCTTTAGAGGAGCTGCCAGACTATTCTCCACAGCGGCTGTGCTCATTTTACAGCCCCTCCAGCAGTGCACAGGCTTCCAGTTTCTCCACATTCTCACCAACACTTGTTATTTTCCTTTTTTTTGGGGGGGGGGGCGGGGTGGTGAAGTGGTAAAATATCTCGTGGTTTTTCTTCTTTTTTTTTTTTTAATAAATTTATTTATTTACTTTTGGCTGCGTTGGGTCTTTGTTGCTGCGCACAGGCTTTCTCTGGTTGTGGCGAGCAGGGGCTACTCTTCATTGCGGTGCGCGGGCTTCTCATTGCCGTGGCTTCTCTTGCTGCGGAGCACGGGCTGTAGGTGCACAGGCTCAGTATCTGTGGCACGTGGGCTCAGTAGTTGTGGCTCGCGGGCTCTAGAGCGCAGGCTCAGTAGTTGTGGCGCATGGGCTTAGTTGCTCCGCAGCATGTGGGATCCTCCCGGACCAGGGCTCAAACCTGTGTCCCCCGCATTGGCAGGCGGATTCCTAACCACTGCGCCACCAGGGGAGCCCCTGATGTGGTTTTGATTTGCATTTCCCTATCTTCTCATGTGCTTGTTGGATGTTTGTATGTCTTTTTGGGAGACCAGCTTTTGTTCTGGTTGATTTTTTTAAATGGTTCATGTTTTGTTTTATTTATTTAAAATAAACTTTTTATTTTAAGACACATTTACAGGATTGTGAAGTTAGTGCAGAGAGTTTCTTCACCCAGGGTCTCCTGTTATGAACATCTTACACTAATAGGACGCATTTGTTACAATTAGTCATTATTAACTAAAACCCACACTTTCTCTCAGGTTTCCCCTCCTCTGCAGCACAGGACCCTCCCCTTACGTGGGTCTTTCATTCCTCTCAGCAGCGTTTCGTGGTTTTCGGAGTATATGTTTTGCACTTCCTTTGTTAAGTGTATTCCTGAGTATCTCACTCTTTCTCATGCTGTGCTGAGTGGGACCGTCTTGATTTCGTGTTGGTCTGCTGGTCGCTGGCGTCTGGACACGCAGCCTGCTTGCTCTGTCGGTCTGGGTCCTCTGTGCCTGCTCACTCGTTCCCACAGCTCTGCTGCTGTTCGGGGGGTTCCTGAGGGGGTCTCTGTGCAGGAATAGGGGGAGTTCACTTCTTCCTTTCCAACCTGAGTGTCTGTCCGTCCCTGGCCTCACACTGTCCCCCACTTCTTAGCGGGGAGCCCTCAGCCCTCACCAGATGCCCCTTGTCAATGGAGGAAGTTCCACTCTTCCTAATTTGTTGAGTGTTTTTTTCATGAGAGGGTATTAGATTTTGTTGGTTGGATGCTTTTCTGCATGAAATGAGATGATCATGTGGTTTTTTCCCTTTATTAACATGTTTTGTGTGGATTCATTTTCTCATTTTGAACCAGCTTAGCATTCCTGGGATAAAGCCCACTTGGTCGCGGTGTGTGACCTTTTGTATATACGGCTGGATTCACTTTGCTAGTATTCTGTTGAGGATTGTTGCATCCATATTCATAAGAGACACTGTCTGTAGTTTGCCTGGAATGTCTTTTTCTGATTTTGGTATCAGGGTTGCTGGGGGTTTGTCTGGTGTTTCTGTCGTGATTTGACACATGATTCTGACCGTCGGTGCTGACCCCGACCCCCTGGCAGAGGTGTGTCTGTCGGGTCCCCTCCACGCCTCGCCCTCGGGAGGGAGGCCCCCCTGCGGAGTGCACGGAGAGCAGCTCCATAATCCGATGGGAAACCTTCTGTGTGGGAGGTTTGTCTCTTCTCTCTGACTCACTAATGTGTTCGGTCATTTCTTAAATCAGCGCAGACTCGTGGGTAGGTATCTACGTTATACTTTGGGTTACAATTCAGTACTTGATTTGTTGCTCAAACTGTTCCAGCCTTGGCTGTTGGGAGCTTTCCCATACCCCACCTGCGTGGGTTCTTGGTGTTTTGTTTTGGGTTTCTGAGCACCTCCCTCCTTTCTGGTGCTAGAAGACATTCCAAGCCCATCTTGGAATCTGCCATTTCTCCAGGGAGCCTGGTTCCTTTATTGGAGAATGAATGCTCTTAGGAACCAAGATGTGGGCTCTCTCGGCCAGCAGCGCGGAGCCCTGTGGGTCCTGACCAGTGAGTCTGCAGACTTATAAATGGCCGGTTCTGGGAGGCCCCCATGCCCAGGCTGCTGTCCTCTCCCAGAGCCATGTCACGAGGGGTCAGTCGGCCTCCCTGGCCTTTGCTGGAGTGGAGGTTCATGGTCTGGCCCTCTGGGCTTGGGTGACAAGCTCTCAGCTGGGACCGGAGCTGACTTCCTTGGGTCACGTCAGCCCTCAGATGCCCTGAGACAGAGACTTGTTACAGTGCTGTTTTTCGCTTCTCTGAGGGTTGAGTGTCCAGGGATCTGAGCCCCTACTGACCTGGCTCCGGAGCAGAGCCCGTGGGGCCATCCTGACTCAGGAACACAGCGGTGTCGCCCTCAGATCCCGTGTGACCAGGGCACACGTGGGGGGTAGGGTTCAGTTGTTCGTGGTGTCACCTCAGTCATGTGACAAGATGCAGGTCTGAGTGTCATCTGTCCACACACAACACGGACCGCGTCTCGTCACCCCAGCCTAGAGCCTCTTCCCCGCTGTGCCCTTTCGCTGGTACTCGGGGCAGGAGCGAGGGGACAGGGTCCTGATGACGGGTGTCCCAGGGTGCCTCCTGTGGACCAGAGGCCCCAGCTGGCAGCCAGCGGGGGCCTGGAGGGAGGAATGGGGGTGGTCCTCTTCTGCCAGGGTGCGCCCCCTAAAGCCCACTTTGTGCCGAGGCTGGAGGGCTGTTTGGCTAACGCTGGCATCTGGGAGAGGCTGTCAGGGCGCCGCCTGGAGAAGTGTGTCCCACTGTGCTCTTCCTCGGTGTGGGGTCTGGACCCTGAACCAGACGTAGGGAGGAGAGGTGGGGAGACTGGTGATCTGAGCACCCTCCCACGGGAGGTGCCCCTGCGACGCCACGTGGTCTTGTCCTGGGGTCCCATGGGGGCGTGAGGACATCCTCGGACTTGGCACATCCCCACTCTGCCCGGCTGAAGTGAGGGCGTTGCCGAGACAGTGCTTCCCCTCACGGTTGGTGGGTGCTGTCTGCGCACCGCAAACCCTGCCCCACTGACATGCCGCCGCCCTTGCAGACCGTCCAGGACGGCCGCCAGTTTCTGAAGTACGTTGACCCCAGGTTGGGGGTCCCGCTGCCGGAGAGGGACTACGGGGGAAACTGCCTCATCTATGATGCCGACAACAAGACCGACCCCTTCCACAACGTCTGGGTAGGTGCCCGGAGGGGGACGGCCGGCCTCATGACATGGGGGCCCCACCACCTCCCACGCGTGAAGCTCGGCGCTGCCCCAGGCATGGATGCTTCTGGGACCCGGGTCACTCTGGACTGGATGGGATGAGGGTACCAGGGGCCATGCCGCCCACATGCGGGGATGCCTCTGGCTGCGGCGGGGCCCCTTCCCAGCTCACGATGGTGGACCGAGCGCAAGGCCTGCCTCTGTGCCCCACAGGACAAGCTGGACGGCTTTGTGCCCGCACACTTCATCGGCTGGTACCTGAAGGTAGGCACCTCCTCGTTGGGCGGGGTACCTGGTTTCGGAGCCGCCCTGAACTCTGGGCCATTTTCCAGCCGTGCGGTGGGTTGCGGCCGCGGTGCAGGACAGGCGGGCTGCCGAGCTGGGGGGCCTGACCCAACCTCGCGTGTCCTGGGCGTTGCGGTGGCCGCTGGAGAGCAAAGGGGAGAGACCCACGGGGGGCCCCCGGCCCCCGTCCCACCCAGCCCTGGGCACCCTCAGGCCTGGACACACGAGTCGTCGACATACCTGCAAGTTGCCTCAAAGTCTTTTTTTTTTTTAAATAAATTTATTTATTTAATTTATTTATTTTTGGCTGCGTTGGGTCTTCGTTGCTGCACGCGGGCTTCCTCTAGTTGTGGCGAGCGGGGGCTGCTCTTCGTTGCGGTGCGCGGGCTTCTTGTTGCGGTGGCTTCTCTTGTTGCGGAGCACAGGCTCTAGGCACGCGGGCTTCAGTAGTTGTGGCTCGCGGGCTCTAGAGCACAGGCTCAGTAGCTGTGGCGCACGGGCTTAGTTGCTCCGCAGCATGTGGGATCTTCCCGGACCAGGGATCGAACCCGTGTCCCCTGCATTGGTAGGCGGATTCTTAACCACTGCACCACCAGGGGAGCCCTCAAAGTCTTAACTTGGGGCGGCTGGAGCCACAGCTGCCCTGCCGCCGCGCCCCACCTGAGGGCAGTGGGGTGAGGGTAGGGGCGGGCTGTCCCTGGGGGATCCCGCCCTGGGGGCTGACGTCCTGGCGGCCCGCAGACCCTGATGATCCGTGACTGGTGGATGTGCACAATCGTGAGCGTGATGTTTGAGTTCCTGGAATACAGCCTGGAGCATCAGCTGCCCAACTTCAGCGAGTGCTGGTGGGACCACGTAAGCGCCGCCCTCTGCGTCCCGGCCGGCCACAACGGGGGGCGGCGGGTGGCACGGGGTCCCCTCAGCCAGGGCCATTCGACCTGGGGACCTGTGGCACCCACCTCCCTCCCACCTGGCTCCCGCCCCCAGTGGATCATGGACGTGCTCGTCTGCAACGGGCTGGGCATCTACTGCGGCATGAAGACTCTCGAGTGGCTGTCCCTAAAGACGTACAAGTGGCAGGGCCTCTGGAACATTCCGACCTACAAGTACGTCTAGAGAGCAGCCCTGCTCCGCACAGGCCTTGACCCCAGTGTGGGGCCTGCAGGCCCCCCCCCACCGCGAGGTCCTTTCGTGAGGTGCTACAGGCGAGGATCTTGCCTCTGTAAACTCCACCGAGGATGTGACCCTGGGTGCTGCCCTCGTGGCGGCCAGGACGTCAGCCCGTCCCCATCCAGCCGGCTCCTCTTACTCCCTGCTGGCCCTTCTCGGGATCGCCCCTTCCCAGCCGCCTCCCTCTGTGAAGAAGTAGAGAAACAGTCCAGGAAAAGACCTGGGGGGCCGGGGGGTGGGTGGCGCGGGCCGGGGGCGAGTGTGCCCGGTGGGCATTGCCCTGGGCTGACGGGCCGCGGTTCCAGGGGCAAGATGAAGAGGATCGTCTTCCAGTTCACGCCCTACAGCTGGGTCCGCTTCGAGTGGAAGCCGGCCTCCAGCCTGCGCCGCTGGCTGGCCGTGTGCGGCATCATCCTGGTGGTAAGGCCTGTGGCCTCCTGCACGCCCCTGCCCTCCCCGCCCCGGGCGCCCTCCACCCTCCTCTGCCCCCAGTTTCTGTTGGCAGAGCTGAACACCTTCTACCTGAAGTTTGTGCTGTGGATGCCCCCCGAGCACTACCTGGTCCTCCTGCGGCTAGTCTTCTTCGTCAACGTGGGCGGCGTGGCCATGCGGGAGATCTATGACTTCATGGACGACCCGTGAGGGCCAGGGTGGGGCCTGGGCCGTGGAGCGGGGGGCGCGGGGTCGGGGCGCTCTCGAGCCTCACCCTTGCACCCACCTCCCTCTGCAGGAAGCTCCACAAGAAGCTGGGCCAGCAGGCCTGGCTGGTGGCAGCCATCACCGTCACGGAGCTGCTCATCGTGGTGAAGTACGACCCGCACACGCTCACGCTGTCCCTGCCCTTCTACATCGCCCAGTGCTGGACGCTCGGCTCCGTGCTCGCCCTCACCTGGACCGTCTGGCGCTTCTTCCTGCGGTGAGCGCCGTGGCCCCGGTGGTCCTGCCTGCCCACCCCAGGCTCTGAGCTCCCCTGCGGGGCAGCATCCAGGGACCTCCGTGGGCCAGCCGGTGGTGACGCAGCCCCCGCTGTCCCCAGGGACATCACCCTGAGGTACAAGGAGACACGGCGGCAGAAGCAGCAGGGCAGGGACGACCAGGGCAGGGCGGACGGCAGCGTGGACGGGCGCCCACCAGGGCCCGACGACCCCTCGGGGCCCGAGGAGGCCGAGAGAGAGGGGGTGCCAGCACCGCACTGACGCTGCGGCTGGGCCTGCAGAGCCCAGGCCCGGCGCCCTCCACCCTCTGCGATTCCCGCCAGGAGCCTTCCACCAGGCCTCAGCCCTCAAGGTTCTATCTCCCTTTTCTCCCGCGTGCACGGTGGGGTGGGGCGCGCGCGTGTGTGTGGTGTGTGCACACGTGTGGGTGCGTGTGTGTGTGCACGTGTGCTCCTGAGGCTCTGGGGCTTGCCCTGGGCCGGCTGGTCCCCCTTCTGCGCAGTCAGCCCGCTGCCTTGGCCACCCCGAGCCTTGGTGCCCAGACGGCCCAGCCCAGGCAGCAGCGTCTCGGTGCCCCTCTCCGCTCCCTGGGCCCCACCGGTCCCCCACGACCTTCTGGCGGCACGTGTGAAGGACAGTCGTCCAGGGACGCCCTGGCGTGGCTGGGAAAGGGCAGATCCGCTTCCTCGGGAGCCTCCATCTGACCCTCCAACCTGGAGGGTGCGTGGACAGGGCTGCCCGCACATCGAGTCAGAGACTCCAAGGCCTGGTGCCCGCCGTCAGGAGGGCGGGTCGTGAGGGAGGGTCTCTGTGGCCCAGGGTTGAGGTCACCCCCACGAGCAAACAGAACAAATAAAAGCCACGGTGACAGCCTGCAGCTCCGCAGCTCCTCGCTGCCCCTCGCCCCCGCCCTACCCTGTGCGGCCCAGAGGGCAGCTGGGAGCCACTCGGGCTGGACACCTGTCCTGGCAGACGACCAGCGGGCACGAGGGTCGCCGGCCCCCCTGGCGCCTCCTGCTGCATCCGCCCCTTGGGCCGGTCCCAGGGAGCTAGTTCTGGGCGGGGTGTGGGTGATGGCACACTGTCTTCAGGCTTCACACGCACCGGCGAAGGGAAGCGCCCTGATTTCCGGGCAAGGGTGACACTCCCGACCTTCCCAAGGGCAGGGCCTCTCAGAGCGCCAGGGTCTTGGTGGTGGACTTGTTTCCTTATTTTCCCGTAACTATTTCTAGGGAGAATTTCAAACCTAGGGCGGCGGTTGTGAGGACGGACAGCGGTGTGCCTGTGCCCCCGCCCCACCCTCTGCTCTTGCGTTGTGCCGTTGAGCTGAGTTTCTCAGCCTCTGGCTTCCGTGGGCTTCCTCACGTCAGGGGTGTGACCCGGGGCCTCAGTGTGCCCCACCCCACCTGCTGCCGTCCGAGTGTCACCTTTGATCTGGGTTTAGGGCCGACGCCTGCCCCAACACTGCGGAGACACCAAGCGTCCTGTCTGCCCACCTCCGCCCGGGGTTCTCGGCGCCACAGGGTCCAGTCGCTCTGGTCCCAGATTACCTCATTCCTGTGGCCTGTGCTCTCCCTGCAGGGCTGGAGGCCCGTGTTGCTCACTGGTCCCAGGCGTGGCCCCCAGGAGTGGTTTCTGGCCCACGGTGGGTGCAGGTTCCCCTGGAGCGTCTCCCGCCCAGACCTGGGTGGGTCCCCCCAGTCCTCCACAAATCCTGCTCTCTTCTGGGGGCCCTGGGTACCTTCAGGGCTTCGTCGTGATGGCAGGAAGTTACTGCCAGGCGCCGACCCTCTGAAAGCTGCCCAGTGTCACACCTTGATCGTGCTGCTCAGGACAGGTCACCCCTACGCTGTCCACCCACGGCCAGATGAGGCCAGTGAGACGGAGCGGACCCTGCCCTTACGTCCACAGGGCTCCAGCCTCCACCAGGAGAGCACTCGGGAGCCAGCTGTCGGCAGGCGCGGCCAGGCCCTGGGAGCAGCTCCCAGCCGGGCTTTCCGGCCCACACACAGGAGGTCCGAGCACGCTGCCAGCCAACGACCAACGCTGTTGGCCAAGGTGAGCCAGGCCCCGAGGCCAGGGGCCACGTTCTGGTGCCCCTTAGTGCAGGCAGGATGCCGTCCTCACAGACCTGAGGCAGGGAAGGCCTGTAGGACGGGGTGGCCTCCGAGGCCGCAAGGAGCAGGACCCCGCCAGCACCTGGGGAGCTCAGACCGGACCCCCACGGAGGACCCCGCTGGGCGCAGCCGCCACCAGGCCCGGACCCCCGACTTGACTTGCCTAAGGCTGCTACGTCTGTGGTGCTCGTGAAAACATCACCCCCTTGACACCAGAGCCTCGTGGGGACCACGAGGACAGACAAAGACCCCTCCTGCCAGAAAAGCGTTTTAATAAAGTGCCTAAAATGCTCTCCCAAAAATGAGCTGATTTAAGCTCTTCTCTCGGTTAAAGCCAGGACTCCTCGTGGTAGGAGGGCCGTCCGGGGAGGGGCGTCAGGAGATGATCCGCAGGCCAGGCTTACTCCCCTCCAGGGCCCGCAGGCGCTCCTCCACCACCTCCGTCCAGTAGATGTCGTACAGGCTGCAGGGAGGGAGGGGGTGAGGTAGCAGCAACACCCCCCCACCCCGCCTCGTGTGCCTCGCCTGTCCCCCGCACCCCAGGGCCACTCACACCAGCTGCTCCAGGGCGCAGCCGGACTGCTCCAGGCTGCCCAGCAGCTGCAGGACGCCGGGGTCACCCAGGCCGTTGTTGCTCAGGTCCAGCTCGCGCAGGCTGCGATTGGTCAGCAGGAGCGAGGCCAGGCCTCCACAGGCGCCGTCTGTCACGTCACAGTCCCCCAGCCTGGGCGGAGGGCAGGGCCGAGGTCAGGCGGAGGGTGCGCCCCCAGGTGGCTGTGCAACCAGGGCCCAGGCCCTGATCATGGAGCGCAAGGGGGCGGGTTTGAGTCTTAGCTGTCCCCACCCTCAGCCCGGGCGGACGGGGCGCCCCCCAGCAGGCTCACCAGAGCACCCTCAGTGTGGTGCCGGGCTGGCCCAGGGCCTGGCACAGTGCCTGGACGCCCGAGTCGCCCAGCTGGTTGCTGCTCAGCTGCAGCTCCAGGAGACGCTTGTTCTGGGTCAGCATCGAGCCGAAGTGGTGGCAGCAGGCGGCCGTGAGGTTGCAGGACTTCACCCTGCGGGCGGCAGACAGGGACTGGGGCCACTGCGGCCCACGCCACTGGGGTGCCCCGGGAGGGCCCTGGGGATCTGAACGCCAGTGCCCCGCCCCCCCCACCGAGTCTCTGCCCGTCTTCAGTGGCTCCACCTCGGCACACCCCCTCCCGCCCCCCGAGGGCACCTGCACCTCGCCAGCCCCGGGCACTGGCCCCCCCGGGCCACCCAGGATCCTCTGCATGGGCCCTCCCATCCCCTGGTGCCACGCGGCCCCCTCACCACAGGGACTCCAGCTGGCAGCCCGGCTGCAGCAGGCTGTCGCACAGCAGCCGGGCGCTCTCGTCACCCAGACTGTTGCCCGCCAGACTCAGCTCCTTCAGGGTCTCTTTGGCCTGGAGGATGCGGCAGAGGTCTCTGCAGCCACTGGCGGTGATGTCACACTCCCAGAGCCTACAGAGGTGAGTCCCCCGTCAGCACAGAGAGGCTCCCAACGCGTCCTGCCGCCCCCAAGTTTTTGTCTGCCCAGCCGGAGGCCAGCTCACCAGAGGGTCTTGAGCTGGGAGCCGGGGCTCAGCAGCCCAGGGCACAGCTCCGCGATGCCTGCATCGCCCAGCGGGTTGCTGCCCAGGTCCAGCTCGTTCAGCGAGGCCTGGGAGGCCACGATCCCACACAGGTCCTTACAGTTGGCCGGCGTGAGGCCGCAGTTCTCCAGCCTGGGGGCACGAGAGGCGCTAGGAGCTGGGGCGCCCCCCCCAGCCCCCGCCCTGCCCCCCAGCCCCAGCCCGGAGCTTACTTGAGTGTCTCCAACTGGCAGGCGGAGTCCGCCAGGCCCCGGCACAGCTCCCGGATGCCAGCCTCGCCCATGTCATTATTGCTCACCACGAGCTCCTTCAGGTCCCGTGTGGCCCTGAGCACCGCGGCCAGGGGCTCACAGGCCGCGGCCGTCAGGTTGCAGTACTCCAGACTGGGGGCGGGCGGGCAGTCAGCCCCTCGGCCGCAGGAATGCGGCTTGGCCCAGGGGGCACCTGTCTGGGTCTCCTTTCCCACCCCAGCCGTGAGGCCTGCGGAGACCGGACGGCTGCCTGGCGGTGACAGCACGGCAGTGGCCGAGGGGCCATCTCCCCGGGTGGCGGGTGCCCAGAGACCCAGGAGAAAGACGCCCAGCCCGAGCTGGGGCTTTCCGGCTTGGCTTCCTCCCTCTGTGGCTGACCCCGTCACTCGGGGTCACAGGCCAGCTGCCAGCTGCTTTCAGAGGCCACAACCCCAGCCTCAGGGAAGAGCCCCTCCTCGAAGCTCCCTGCAGCCGATGAGCTGGGGAGGGGGCTTGCCCAGGGCAGACAGCCGAAACCCAGGGGACGGGTGGGCGCGGGCCCCTCGGGGCCCCGGGTGGGGGCACACTCACTGCAGCTTCTCCAGGTGGCACTGCGGGTCCAGGAGCCCCTCGCAGAGCAGCTGCAGGCCGGCGTCACCCAGCGGGTTGTCGCTGAGGTGCAGCTCCTGCAGGGTGGGCAGGGAGCGCAGCACGCCGGGCAGGACCCCGCAGCCGGCCTCCGTCAGGCAGCAGTTCTGGAGGCTGGACACACGTGGCCGTCAGCGGGCCCCACGAGCCGGCTGCGGCTCCCACGCAAGACGAGCCACCCCTCCGTCTGCCGGAGCCCAAGCAAGGCGGACACAGAACTGCCGCCACCACGCACACCCCCACCACGCACACCCCCACGGGGGAGGCCAGGCAGCCGGCCTTGCAGGAGGAGACGCGGGGTGGGGGCCGCGAGAGGGCTCAGGTGTGCCTCAGGGCCCAGAGCCCAGGAGTGACCGGCATGGCTCACCTGAGCTTCTGGATCTTGCAGGTGGGGCTCTGCAGGCCCTGGAGCACCAGGTGCACGCCGCCGTCGCCCAGCTCATTGGTGCGGAGGCTGAGCTCCGTCAGGGAGGGGTTGGCCCGGAGCGCGGAACCGATGTCCTTGCACCGCACCTCCGTGAGGCCACAGTCGTCCAGCCTGCAGACGGACACTCAGTCACTTCACACAGCAGGTTGTGACCCGTTCTTGGGCCAAGAACTCGACGAGGTGGGTCACAACCAACACATCTTAAAATGAAAGAGAAAAAGCGTGTGGATCGTCTCGTGAAAACTGTTAAGATACTGGCACCTATACGGACGCGTATCTCTGCATCTTCCCCGGGACACGGTCAGGGGGCACAAGTGCCCCTCCACCCCCAGGAGAGAAACCAAACCTGGAGGCGGCAGCTCGAGGGCAGAGCCCGGCTGAAGAGGCTCGGAGAGGCCAGCGTGGAACGTGCCAGGCCCTGACCCAGGATCACATCCACCGATTAAGTGAACCACTGAGTCAATACAGGTGGAAGGAAAGCCAGCTCTTCCTCAGAGAATGACAAGTGATAAATGTGGAAGGAATGAAAAAATTAAAAACCCCAGTGAGGCAGAGTCCCAGAAACACTTCAGGCCAAAAACCCACCAACAGCTGCGAAGATCAACAGGCAAAAAGTCCGAGCAGAAACAGGATGTGAGCAGAGTCTGAAGGGGTGTCACCCCGAGAAGTGGCAGGCACCCGCATCAGGTGGTCACGGCGACCATTAGGGGTGACCACGTGGCACCGCTGTGACAACACCTCCCACGATACGATACGCCAGGCAGGACACAACGTCATTTCTGTGTTGTCTGGCCAAAACGTGTGACTCAACCCTGAGAAGACGTCAGAGGCACTTTCACCTGAGCCCGAGTGAGCGGACCCCAGAGTCAGGCGGCCAAGGACAAGGAGGGACGGAGGGACCATCACAGACAGGAGGGGCCGTGGAGACGTGGCGATGATGCCGTGGAGGGTCCCGCACGAGCCGGGAACAGGAGAGGACATGCACGGAAAAGCTGGTGACGTGAGTCAAGGCGGCCGTGTCGGGCTCTTCGCTTTGACTAGCGCCCCAGGCGACGGGGCACGGGGGACCCTGCACTGTCTTTGTGACTCTTCCATAAACCTTCCATAAAACTATTCCATAAAACTATTTCAAATAAGTTCAAAAGAAGAAAGATAAGCAGGGACTTGAGGACACGGGGAGGGGGAAGGGTGAGCTGGGACGAAGTGAGAGAGTGGCATGGACATAGATACACTACCAAACGTAAAACAGATAGCTAGTGGGAAGCAGCGGCAGAGCACAGGGAGATCAGCTCGGTGCTTTGTGACCACCTAGAGGGGTGGGATAGGGAGGGTGGGAGGGAGGGAGACGCAAGAGGGAAGAGATATGGGGACATATGTATATGTATAACTGATTCACTTTGTTATAAAGCAGAAACTGTAAAGCAATTACACTCCAATGAAGATGTTAAAAAAAAAGTAAAATGACACATGTAAGAAGTTATTTATTATAGCATTGTTTGTAATAACAAAAGGTTAGAAGCAATTAATTGCTATGGAGCCCTAATAAGAAAAAAAAGTGGCTCTAAATGCCTGGGTAAGATTTCCAAAATAGATTAAGGGAAACAGGAAGGTTATACAACAATATTTATACAAATATTGCTATTTGTCTAAAACCGAGGGGAAAAGAACTGGAACTCTGCTAACCTCGCCCTTGCCGCTCCGCCGCACACGCTGTACTTCGGAGAGCTCACCATTCCTCAGTGTACCCTTCGGGCACTGCACCTTCTTAAACGCTGTTCCCACTGCTCTTCCTCCCAGCCCTCGCCTTCCTGCTGGCCCTTCCCAAGATACTCACGCGTATACACGTGCTTCCTTGTATTAGAAACACAAATGGCCTGCCGTGCATGCTGTTCTGCACTTTTTTTGCTTAATACATACTTGCACGTTAAGGGCTGTCTCATGCTATTTTATAACCGTATACTTCTCCACTGAACGGATGTATCATAACTTAATCAGTCCCCTATTAATGGATATTTCCATTGTTTCCTATCTTTTGCTATTAAAAATAATGCTGTAATGAACATTCTTGTGCATATGTTATTTCACATTATATCTACGGAATTATACCTGGGGGCTAAATTCTTAGAAACAAGGGTAGTTGATGCGGAGGGCAACAGAGTGGACTGGGCACAGGAGTGAGACTTTTCACTGTATTCCCTTTTGTGTCTTTTTGATTTTGTACCATATGTCTTACCTATTCAAAAATAAAATATTTTTAAATCCAAAAAAAAAAAGATAAGCAGGCAGGCCCTCATCTCTTGCTCGTGAGCCCTGAGGAACCTGCGGGTTTGAGGGCCTCAACAGCAGAAGTCAGCCTGGACTTGGATTCCCAGCCCGCAGCCTGGCAGGGGCAGAGGACAGGCAGTGCCCACACGAGCCGGCTGCGGCGACTGCATTTCCAGGGGAAGGGGACGAGCGGAGGAGACCCTGGGCCAGGTTGCTCTGCCCACCAGGCCTGGGCCAGAATAGGTTTACATTCGAACGGTTGGAAAAAAATACAAAAGGAGTCACATTTTATGCCACGTGAAAATCATACAAAATTTACATCACGCTTCTGTAAGTGAAGTGACCTGGGAGCACCCCTCACCCCCTGCGGGGTGATGACCCCGGGGACGCAGGCACAGCTGGTCCTACCTGACCACCTCGTACTGCTGGATCAAAGGCAGGAGCTCTGTCCACCGGGCGTCACTCAGCTGCTCACACTGGATGTCGAGCTTCATGGTGGGAGGCGAGGTGCTGCCTAGACACAGGCAGGGGAGGAGAAGATTTCAGCCAAACTCTCAAGGTCTGACAGGCCAGAGATCCAGTGGACGGACGACGTCCAAACAGGACCCCAGGGGACATTCCAGGAGAAGCCACAGCCTCACCGCCTGCTTTGTTTCCCTTCTTCAGCACCTTTATCCACGTCAGCCTCCAGAAGCAGAAATGGGAGAGGGCTCCCGGGCAAAGACTGCCACGGACCGCAGAGCTGGGGGACGTGGCTGCGGGGACAGAGGCCGCTCTCACCCCCCAGCCTCCCGGGCACCTCCCACCTGAGGAAGGGGAGACCGGCGCTCACCGCCCGAAGCCCTGCCTCTGCCTTGCCAGCAAGGACAGGTGGCGGGGGGCGGGGAGAGGTGGCGCCTGTGGGCCCGGACAGTGTGCAGACCCCAGCCAGGAGGGCGCAGGGGCCCCAATCTGTGACTTCTCCCCTCCGAGAACAGGAAGGCAGCACACAGCCCCACCTGGCCGGCATCCACAAAGCCAGACGCGCCCAGGATGCCAGCACCTGAGGCCTCACTGCCCTGAAGCAGCCCTGTCAGGTGGTCAGCCGGCAGTTCCTGAGGGGTGCCAGCCACAAGCGCCCTGGCCAGGACAGAGAAGGCAGGGTGGGGACCCCAGGTCCAGTGACCTGCGCTCCGGATGGTGCCTTCATGGGTGGCCGCCCGGGGCGCCTGTTTCCATGAGCCCCTTCTGGGCCTGGGACTCTGGACAGGGCACGTCCTCTGCCCAACCCCGGCTCAGCCCAGGGACCAGCCCACAAAGAAGCCAGTCCACCAAGCAGGCTGAGAAAAGAGGGAGGCCTCTGGCCAGCAGGTCTGAGATGGGAGGTCACAGGCCCTGAAGCCTCACCAGGGCCACACACAGCGCCTGAACAAATGAGTAACCAGAGCCCTGGGCGGGTGCCGACTGTGGCCCTGAAGGGGTGGCCAGCAGGAGAGGAACCCAGCGGCAGCCGTGAGCTGGGGGGTGCCCGGGAGCGGGCTTTCAGTCAAGAGCAACAGGAAGTTCAGTAAACACCCGCGCCTGGAAGCCATGCCTTTCCAGATCTCTGGAGACAGGATGACTCAGACCCATGTGAGGTTCCCGGTTCCCCAAAACCCCCAGATTCCTGAGAACAATACTTCACTCGTGTTTGTGTCCGTGCCTGGCACAGCCCCGGCCTTGCTGAAGAGGGCATGCCCCCTGCCGGCCCCCGGCTGGTTCGAGCCCACAGCAGGGAGGAGGGCCAGCCCAGGCAAAGGCTCTAGGTACATTCCTCCTGGGAGGCCCCTGGTGCCAATGATCAGGTAAGATTCGGATTCACGTGTTCATGTCCCAGCAGAGGGGCCTACTAAGAAACTAAGGCGAGGGCACGGGTAACTGGCCACTTCCCGTACCATCCCAGGGAGGGGCCATCCCAGGGAGACGCCGCCCAGCCCACTGGCCAGAGCACGTGAGCAAAACCAGGCCTGCCACCCACCCCCAGCCCAGGGTGTGGCCACCCAAACCCTGACTCAGAACCCTCAGTCATCGCGGGAGAGGAATCAGGGGGAGGGGCCCCTGAGGATCTCCAGCCCCGACACCGCTCCCCCGGCTGCTCCCTCCCAGAATCCAGTGTGACATTAGGGGACTCGCCTCTCCAGAGTAGGAAACTGATACCCGGCAGCTGCACCCCCCCAAGCCCCCAGACTTGACTAGACCCAGAGTATCCCTTTGGTTGGCCTGCGGGCGTCTTAGCCTCCAGAGGACACAGATCCCTTTGAGAACCCATGTAAAAGTGTTAACATCCCGCAAAGATGCCGCGTGTACAGCCTTCCTCACAAGCCCCCAGTTACGGTGCCTGATCTGGACAGGAACAAGCACATGTCCGGCCCACGGCCTCCCTGGCAATCAGGACCCCCACCAGCTGGGCTGCTCCCCAGGCCCCAAGTCGCGGGTCCAAGATCTCAACAACGGCCTCTAATTAATGCTTCCAAGTGCGGGGACAGGCCGCTGCGCAAGACCGCGCCGGAAGCCAGGAGGTGCGTCTTCTCCGCCTCAGCGTCCGGCCCGGGCCTTCCCTGGAGCGGCGCCCGCGGCCCGCCCCCCGCTACCGGCGCAGCTTGGTTACCTCTGCGAGGCGCGAGGGGTGGCGGAAGGCAGGGGCGCGCCGGGGTCCGCGCGGAGCAGCCCGCCGCCGCCGCCGCCCTCCACGCCCGCCCGAGGCTCCGCATGTGTCCGGGGGTCGGAGGTCAGCACGGGGTCGGGCCGCGGCCTCTCCAGGGAGAGGCGGGCCGCTCAGAAGCCGCGCGGAGAGGGCTCCCCGCGCCCCCGGCCCCCGCGCTTTCTCGGGTCCGGGGACCGTCCGCCACGCGGTCAGCGGCTGGGGGACCCCCAAAACACCTAGCCCCCCTCGCCGGCCCGCTCCCGCTCTGCCCCGACCCCGGACCTCACCTCCCGGGCCTCCACCGCAGACCAGAGAGCAGAGCTGCGTCTTCCGCCCGGGCAGGGGGTGGGGTCACGTCCTGGGGCGGGGCCTTGGAGCGTGGGGGCCGGGCGGGCCTAGAGCCCCGCGCCAGGTCGCCCTCGCCCACCGAACCCCGGCTGGAGGACACTAGACCCCGGGAAGGGCCCGCCCGACATCCCTTCATCCCTCCCCGGCTTGGCCCCGGGTCTTTTTCTGAGACGCGCGCCGAGCCTGCGCCCACAGCTAAGCCTTCGCCGCTTTCCGCTGAACTCCGGGGTAAAAGTTGACGTCCCAGTTTGATTTTCCACTTTGTCGCCCAGAACGGGGGCAGGCCACCTTGCGGGGAGGGGGCGTCAGGCGGAGATGCGGGCGCAGGCGCGGCGAGCCCCGACCACCCCCAAGGAGACAGAGGCCGTCGGGGCTTTCTCTGCGCCCTCCCACCAGCAGGCAGGACGTGGGAGTTTCCCAAAGCACAGAAATCGAATATCTGAGACACTTCTTTTTGCTGCCACACAGGAAAAGATAGAAACTATCTGTCTTGGCTGTGATGAAATGCGTCAGTGTGTAAGCAGATACGGTAGGTTTTCTGGGAGAGAGAACCAGGCATGGCTTTCTTAACAGAAGCCATTTTTTGGCCTAAGCCGTTTTGTGATCTAAGCTGGGCCACAATGCTTTGCCCTTGAACAGGTCTCAGTAATTGATGACCTTAAGGGAACAAAAGAACGCAGAAACAAACGACTGTAATCAGACAAGAGAAGTAACAACAGCAAAAATAATGTTCCAGTTGTAAAGACTTCTGGTTCTGTTTCAATGGTGAGGATTAGCCTGAAGCCGCAACCACCAGACCTACCGGAATCTAAGGGGTGAAGATGACCTTTTCTGACCCTCCTGACTTCAATCAAATGAACCCTGGACTCTGCGGGGAGAAACTGCTTTGGAGAAGATCCCCAGTGTTCCCCTTATTTGCAGCAAGAAATAAATCCTTCCTTTCCGGATCTTTGGCTTGGCTGTGTCTTTTGGCTCAACACTCACCACAAGGCGAAACGTTCTTCGGGTAACAAGCGTGGCATTTGGCTTATGTAAAACACTACACACCCCTGCATTTCTGTGTATCGATCAAGAGGAATATTCATGCATGAGCTTAGGAGACATGTTCACAATGTCTTTTTGCAGCATTTTGCAACTGTCTAAACCTGGAAACAATCTAAATGTCTACCAGTAGGAAGATGGTTTAAGGCTTCATAACACACCTGTTTTGCGCCACTCTTGGCCTAGCCATAACCAGTGTCGTGGCTGGACTTGCCCTTGTGAGGCAGCCTTCAACAAAGACCATTAGGAAGCTTTGGGGAAAAAAAAAAAAAGGTTTATTACTCACATGTGTTGGAATGCACATGGCATACCTGGGGCCACAGAGCGAGGTGGGGAGGGGGCGGGGGGTTGGGGGCAGGCGGCTAGGGTTCTGCTTTAACTGGAGTCAAGGTTGGCGGCCTAGGGTTTCGCAGGCTCACTATTGGTAAACTTAAAACATAAGAGCTGGAATTTACAGCAGAAGAAGAGAAAAGCACATGTGGCCCAGATGGTCAGTTATTGAAACCAACCAAGATCTCTAAATTTAACAAAGGAACCTCAGGGAGCAGACCAGTTGCCTGGGGGCTGGTTCGTTGTGGGAATAAAGGAAGGGTTACTCAACTTGGGGAGAATATCCGGCGGGGCCAGTCCTTGCTTGTGTAGTTTGTAAGGGGTCAGGGCCACCAACGTGGGGCCAGGGGTCCTGGAGAGACCAGTGGCTTCGCAGGTTTGGGGCCCCAAGGCACAGACACCCACCCCCGCCCGACACCACGAGCTCCCGCAGAGCAAGTGCAAGTTGACAAGTTGTCGAGTGAAGACAGTGCGCAGCTCTCCCCCACCCTGATGCAGGAGGATGAGCATGGTGCTGGGTTTCTGGCAGAAACTCCTGCAGGCTGGGGTGGGTGAGGATGCAGCAGGGAGAGGGGAGGGGGCAGAAAGAGGCCTCTGGGTGCACTGGCATGCCAACCAACTTTAACATGATTTTTATCACAGGAGCAGTATGTGCTTTTTGTAGAAAAACCAGAAGAGATAAAAAAAAAAAAAAGGCCCAAGAATGCCCATCTTCCAGAGACAAATGATCTGACATCTGTGTGTCTGCCCCTGCTCCTCCTGTACACACAATACACAGTTTTAAAAATAAAAATGAAATATAAGCAATAGTAGGCAGAATAATGGCCCCCAAAGATGACCACATCCTAATCCCCAAACCTGTCAATAGTTACCATAGATGGCAAAGGGGTCTCTGCAGATATGACAAAGTTAAGAATCTTGAGATGGGGGTACTGTCCTTGTTTACTTGGATAGGCCCAATGTAATCCTGAGGGTCCTTAAAAGAGAGGCAAAAGGGTCAAAATCAGAGAGGAAGTGACAATGGAAGCAGAGGTTGGAGTGGCTGCGCTTTGAAGATGGAGACAATCAGCCTCTAGAAGCTAGAAAAGACCAAGAACTAGATTCTCCCCTGGAGCCTCTGGAAGGAACCATTCTGTGGATATGTTGATTTTTAACCCCCTAAGGCCCATTTCTGACTTCTGACCTCCAGAATTGTAAAATATCTAGTCTGTAGCAACTCACTACAGTAGCAGTAAGAAACTAATGCATTAGGGAGCTGCTATATTTCTCACCTAAGAATAGATATGTATACAATGTATACACGAATATACACGTACGTGAATAGATATGTATGGAAGCTAACTTTTAGTGGGCACACTGTGTGTCACTGTTCGAGTGTATTCAATCTACTCAACCAATCTCCACAAGCTGACATTTAGACTGTCTCAGCCAGACCTTGTGACAACCCGAACTCGCGGCCCTCGAGGTGCTGTCCCACTTATGTCCTCTTTCCCACAGGAGCTGCCCACCCAGCTCCCCCGGGTCACTCGGGTGACCTAACGGGACAGAACTGCAGGGCGGACACATGGCCATCCCAAGGCCCAGCACCCTATGGGCGCCACCCGGTCGAGTGCTCTCTGCCAGGGCTGTCTGTCCTTCCTGGGGATCGGTTCTTTTGGGAAATAAGGTCGGGGGTTACTCAATTTGAGAAGGAAAGTCTGGCTGAGCCAGCCCTTGCTGGTGTAGATTGCTCGGCGCCAAAGAGCGGACCACCAGGACGCAGACCACGGAGGCGCAGAACCAGGGCCCCGCGCCGGAGGTCCCAGAGTGCCCCGGGAGGACGGCCGGCAGCGGCGCGCACACGCGGAGGCGAACTCGGACGCCCTGACGTCATCGGAGCGCGCCGACGTTCCCTGGGCGGTGCCGCGGCCTCGGCCCGCGCGGACCCGCCTCACCGGACCCGCCCCCGACAGGCCCCGCCCCACAGGCCCAAGGAGTGGGGCTGTCCCCCGCCCAGCGGACCTCTCGACCCCCGCTGGCGAGCGCGCGTCTCCCCGGGTTGCGTGGCCTCAGTGGCGCCCGGCGTGCGTCCACGCGCGGCCCGACCAAGACCGGCGCCGGTAAGGACTGACCCCGGACTTGTCGGCCGTCTGTTTGGCCCATTCGATGACGGACCTAGGGAGTGACTGACCTAGACACGACAACGAACTGTCCCTGGCCTGTTGACCGGGAGGGAGACGGCCTACTTCCGACCGGGGGGGCGGTGTCAGGACCAGCGGTGGGGCGGGGCCTCGCTGCGGCGCGGCAACAGGCGGTGGGCGGGGCCTCTAGGGGCGGGGCCTGTGGGCGGGCAGACAGGGGCGGGCCTGCTGGCGGGGCCTGCGGGTGGGGCGGGGCCAGCGGTGGTCCCCAAGGTGCCCTCACCGCCTCCAGCTGGAACTGATGGGCGGACCCGCGCGGGCCGTAGGTGGGCCTCGAAAGTCGGACCCGGTGAGGATGAGGCCTAGCAGGGCCCGGGCCGTGACATTAACGTGGCGGGCAGCGGGTTGGTTCTCTGACTTGGAGCAAAGCCTGAGTGTTGGGATACTGCGAGCACCGACAGCTAGAGCTGGAGAGTCAGACACAGACACAGACCGTTGGTTTCGGAAGAAAGTGGCAACTCTGTTAATTAAGGCAACGTTTGTAATCTATAGGTGATGTTTCATTCATTTAATATTGTCAATGAATGTTAACAATTCGTGCCTCACCTAAATGCATTTCTTCGTAAATATTTAGTAACTCCTGTGTGCCTGGCTGTGTTGTAGGTGCTGAGGATTCAACAGTGAGTAGAACAGACAGAAATCCCCGATGGAAGGAAACTCGGGAGGGGAAGGACTGCGCCACCAGGGAAGTCCAAGTGTATTTCTTTTAAAGTCCTTGTCTAATAGCTCCATTATCTGCACCAGGCCAGAGAGGGTTACCTGCGGGGACTGGAGCTGGTGAGGGGTGTGGCCAGGTGTCCACAGACTGAATGAAACAAGTGGTGCCCAGCCAAAGGACACAAAATTGAAAGCTGAGTGAAACACCTGAGGAGGGGAAGGAAGGTCTGGAAGTGCCTTTCCCCTCATTTTCTCACCCGTATTTGTCAATTGTGAGACACCCCACAAAGTTGAGGGTGCAGGTTACCACCATACATGTGCTAGGCACAGTGGGGGGCCCTTTGGGATTCAC